GCTTGCTAATGATATTAAGGCGCACATCCGGAAATTCATCCTTCAGAAGCGAAAGAAAAATGGGAAGGAGCTGCTCAATTGTAGCATCCTGCATAATGAGATGCATGCAAGTAATGCAATTAATCAGACAACGCTATCATAAGATTGAAAGATTGATTGCAGGATTGAGACTAAACCAATTGACTATCTCATCCAAGCACAAACCAGAAAGAAAGAAAAAACAAACAAAAAACATAAGCCAGAAAGAACACTCCATCTATCTCAGGGGGTAATTTGCAGGCCAAATCTATGCGATGTATAACAAAAACCTGAGAAACGGTTTATATGCAGCCCTCCTCGGCCTGCAGACTTCAGAGTCAATCTTCAAAAATGTCATTTAATTTGAAAAGAATGTAATTTTGAGATTCATTGACTCATACCATTTAGTTAGCTGAATTTAAATTTGAGATATGGACCAGATACACATCTCTTCTTTTTTTTCTTCCCAACTTCTTCACAGATGTATGGACTATCCAACACATATTCATTTAATGTAAAAGTCATATACACCTCATATCAGCTCCAGTTCAGTGATTTGTCAAACTCTTTTTAAATTGACAAAAAACCCAATCCGATATACCGCCATTATTGTATGTAATGATCAATTATGGAGTTCTTCCCTGGAAACAATAACTGCACTAACCACATAACATTCTCACCTTTCCTAATACAAGAGCCATTCCCATTATAACTGAAGCCAAAGCAGACCGGACATGTTGGGAAGAATCTGATGACAGCTCCTGCAAAGGTCATTGAGAAATATTGAATAGCTAATACAAAAGAAAGTATAAATTGGAGCCAACAGCAAACAGCACCAAGAAAGGAAAAAAATTTCATTAAAGCATGCATACCTTCACACATGGAAGAATATGCTGAATTGCAAGTTCTGGGCTTAAAATCCGACAAAACTTAGTAACTTTGCCAGCAGCTGCTATACGTACTTCAGCCTCATTATCTCGAAGCAACCGCACATAAGCAGGAACCAAGTCCGTCCTTCAAACACAACCATCATAAATCAAATATTTCAAAAGGAAAAAAAAACATCAAAGGCCATAAATAAGCCACTACAGATGGGAAGTGTGACTTAGCTAAACAAAAATTGGCTAGACAAATGTGTGGTCAAATAACTGATCTCCACTATCTTTATCACATGGCTGCAGTATGACAATAAATACCTCGTAGGCTCAGGCCCCACAGCTTCACAAAGCTCATATAGTTGATTTGCAACCATGTAACGCACACGCCAAGACTTATCCTGTTCAGAGATAAGAAAAAATGTCAAGATACACAAAATTCATTGATATATTTTTGGTTACACAAAACTGTCAGTGACACTCCACAGTGTCATGACCAACAACTTCCAAACACATGCCTTAACCATCCATTCAGCCTTTTTATGACAAAATAGGATGAATATAACATACTAGCAATATAAAAGTAGCAAATTCTGGACATAAACCTGCACAAAATATTCAGAAACCAAAACTCGACATTCTAAATAATAGGTTTACCTGAGAGAAGTTAACAATAACAGGGAGGATATGTGCAACACAGTCTTGGGGCTCCAACAACTTTCCAAGAGCAGCACAGCCCTCAACAGCCAATAGTCGAACAGAATCTTGATCTGAGATGAAATTTTTTTTGAGAACTCCAACTTTGAACTCAAAGAGACAATGAGAATGTGAAGACACAGAAATAACAAAACCCAACTTCTTAAAGTACAGACAAAACACTCTAACCAAATTGATAGATTTACCAAACTTAGAATGTGAAGACACAGAAATAATAACACCCAACTTCTTAAAGTACAGACAAAACACTCTAACCAAATTGATAGAATTACAAAACTGAGAATGTGAAGACAGAAATAATAACACCCAACTTCTTAAAGTACAGACAAAACACTCTAACCAAATTAATAGAATTACAAAATATAGATGGCGAGAAAACAAGGTGAGCATTAAATTACCATCTTGTGTAAGATCCTCAAATATGGACATGATATCAGTCTTCAGATGAGCAGGTTCGACAGTTGCTGCAAATTTCCCCAGGTTTGTTGCAGCAGACCTTCTAACCATAGGCATGTCATCTTGACACAACTGACTGTAAATTGACCGCAGTTCCGTCTTCAATGTCTCTGGTGCACTAGGGTAGGCAATATGAAAAAGCCCACATGCAGATACTCGAGCTGTAAACCATTCACCAGCTGCCAACCTCTGATGAAAAAAAAAAAATACAATACGCATTGAACAAAGGATTTGCTGAGGGTGAAAGGATTGAAAACTACAGAGCATTGTAATGAATGCACATAGACATGTGCAGGACACTGATGAATTGATGTTTTCATGTCAATGTCACCAGTGCAAAGCACTTAAAAGTATCCACACGGCATAGATTTAAAGATACAAAAGGCACATCTCTCCATAAATAATTTGAGCGCTAGCCCAGTGGTTAGGCACGTGGAAATAGAGGTTAAAACTAGAACAAGGCATCGAACGTTAAAAAGTAATAAAATTTTGAACATAGAAGAAAATAAGTTATCTAACCTTCACAAGAGGAATAAACCAGTTTACTAAATCACCCTCCCTCATCTGAGACCCAATCCTACATAATGACTCCACAGCCTTGTCCCTCACACAGGTTTCCTCGACAGTGCAAAGGGTTTCCAAGGGTGGGAGCAAAACATGTGCATGCTCCACTCCCCCAACATATGGAATGAAGACCCCCAACTCTTCTGCCATTGCAAGAAGTACCTCATCATCGTCATCATTGTTTTCGCTCAGAAAGGGGATTAACTCCTTACGGGTTCGTTCTTCCCCAAGAGCACGTGCAATGGTAGATAGCCTGCGGATTGAGTTCAACCGTAGCTGGATGTCGTCATTTTTCAGCTCGTCTATGAGAACGGCTATTGGGTATAGCGGTTCATCAACCATAGACATTGTAAATCAAAGTTTTTTTAGAACCTTCAAACAACAAAAGAAAATAACATAAGTACTACAAGTAAATGATATGTATTAAAACCCATCAATGCAGCTACCGAATTATATATGTAAAACAATAAGTACCTTTATAATTAGATGGGCATATGCAAATGCGTTTCTAAATAATAAGTATAACTAATAGTATTTTAAAGGAAGCAAACTTTGCAGATATAACCAACGGTCTATATGACCACCCACCCAGGGTTCACAGGAACTGCGAAACTAGAAAGAATGCATAATCTTACAATAATTAACAGAACCACTATATTTTCATTTCGGTTTCAATTCTTTACTTCGATTCCTATGATTCCCAAGGTATTCAGTGGAGCATAATTGAGAAAAGCATCAGATCAACACCGCGAGATCTAAATCAAACCCTAGAATTCAAATCCAGAAAATACCAAAAACGTTTAAAAGAAAATGAAAAACACGACGATGAATTCTGAGATTCCAGAATCAGTAACTCTAAGGCTCTGTTTAGCTACTAAAATTCCAAATGAGAAAAATGAATCAACAACTGCGTACTTATTTTATGACCGAGGAAATAATAACAATTAAAAATAAACAAGCGTGCGTGCGTGCGAGCGATATAGTAAGACATTGCTTCAGCTGAATTACTCTTCATTTCCGGGAAAGGAAAACATAAAATAATTAATTCAGTTTTTTTTGGGGGGGAGGTTCTTACTTTCCTTAGTTTCCTCGGAAAACAAACAGATGCCAAAAATCAAGTTACCCCAATTGATTGAAAAAAGAAATTATGAAAATGTTTGCATTTACTAAGACGAAATCGATGAAACTTATAAGCGAAAACAGTCTTACCGATCTCAGTGCCCTTCCCGCCGGCTGCCTCTGATTCGACAATCTGTTATAGCGGAGGGAGAGAGAGAGAGAGAGAGAGGACAAGAGAGTCGATAGACTATCGTATTATGGTTCCTTTTGTTTTTAGGCCCATGTGTACAGAAGCTAGTTGTTAGCCTTTGGGCGTCTTCACTTTTTTTTTTTGTCGAGGCGTCTTTAGATTAGAGCTGAGGAACAGAACTTGTGTTGGGGCTTCACAAGCCCTAGCCCAATAGTGATGCGTTTTAATGCTTCTTCTGTTCCTTTTCTTGAAAGTGTTTTTAATTTCAAAATAATAAGAACAAGTAATATATAAACGGCATATACAATAAACCATCGATACATGTTGATATTCACGATAAATCATTTGGCATTCACTCATATTATAATAATATGTATCTATTTATTAATATTGTATTATAGATCCACAAAATATCATCAAGTCCGCCTATATCATAAAACTTAGATTAGTAATATTATGTGATGGTGTGACCCTAACACTAATAAGAAGAAACGCTTTTTAATATTATTTTCTTACATCTTATCAATTGCTTGGAACTTAAAAAATTACTCTTCATTTTTTTCCAAATGAGATTAGGAGAGGGGGAAGTGGAGAGGTTGGAACTTTTCTTTTAGTACAATTGATAGTCTAAACTACAGTCTACATGGGAATGGAGGTGGAGAAGTTGGAACTCCTTCAGTCAAGCATATTGTTATTTTCACATTTATCGGCTTCAGGCTACTCAAATAAATAAATAAAAAACGCTTTATTCATGGCTTATTATACACAACTACATGATACTATGATAGCCTATGACAATGAGACAAATAAGGCATATGCGTTTTTATGCTTGAAACGGATCCAAATTTTGTTTCCTTCTCCATCAATTGCTCATATAAGAATTTTTGTGATGAACCGGACTGTTGTGAAAATGTGGATTTCCCAGCATGGCTTGCATCAAAGGGCATCAAATCAAGAGTTCAAAACAGAGAACCTCACTCTCTGCCTTTGTACATCATTTTAAATACATCTGTAGAGCTAAACCGAAATCACTTTGTCACCTCGTTTGAGTTACCACCAGTGATGATGACCTCCAATTTCTTGGGTCAAAATTATAACACATATCTAGCCAACTGAAAAACACACTCTTAATTCTTCAACCGCAACCACCTTAATAGTTTGGTCCAAAACCCAACCACCACCTCCTCTTTGACTTCAAATGGGTCCACAGGATCCTTAAACTTGGCTTTCTCACTGAGCTCTTTAAATTCATCCACGAGATTCTGAAGCCTAGCCACAAACTCAATCAGAAGTGATGCAAACGTTGCCAAAGATAAGGAACTGGCGCTTTCATAAACTTTTGATTCTTCTGGTTCCTGTTGCACAACATGCGCATTAAACGAAAGCCGTGGCCATGAAACTGGGTTTTTTAACAAGCTTTCCGAGGATATCCATTGTCGCATGGAAGGATCGGCACCCCCGCTAGGATTCTGAGGATCCCAGAATTCACTAAGAGAGTCAATCACCACCTGCTTATTTTCATTCTCTCTATCAACAAAATGCTGAGGTTCTTCATATTCCTTGGGCCGTACTTCAGGTGCCCATCTTTCTGAATTGACAAGAAGGTATGACTTTTCGTCTATCTTCATCTGCAACGCTTCTGCTGCTTCATGCACTTCAAAAAGTATGTCTTTCGGACTTAGTTTTTCCATCTTTTCCACTTTGCTTCCTAGCTCACGAAGTATTTTAGCACCTTCGTTACCAACTCTCTGAAGCTCCATGCCAAAAACCTGTCTCTTTTCTGGCGGTGCCTACAGAAACACATGCACGAAACCTGATTATGAAAATGGATAGGCCTGGAAAAGGGGATCATAAGTTATGAACTGGTAACCTAAGAAACACAGGATTAAGAAGAAATATGTGCTCTTAGAATCTTAATCAACTATAGGGACCTGTTGTTGCATGGTTCAGAATCTTTTCTTGTCTTTGCAAACAGAGAAATGGGACGTAAGGCTATTCTTCTATGCAAAGTCAAAACAAAATTTTTAGAATCCCTTCTTCTTGAGTAGTGTAATTGGCATGACAAATCAAAATTATTTTGAGGGAACAGTGCAAATCAAGTAAAACCAAGTTCAAGATTTAAGGTTACAATAATCATAAGCTCATTTTATTTTCAAATGAACAGTATGAACCAAAAGATCCATCTCCTGGACTCATATATGGAGATTCAGAATTTAATGTCGACATTTTTCTTCTTCTGATATATACATTCAGCAAAGCCACAGTGAAAAGGAAAGATAAATATTTACCTGTATTTCTGAGAGTATGCATCCGTGCATTGCCATGACCATGAATGCACAATGCCTAAGTGAACCACCAACTTTGACGTAGTGTCTCCAGGGATAATTGAATGACTTATAAGGGCCATGTGGCGGCTCCCATATTGCAAAGTCCAACTGCATAAACAGTGTTAAATTTGAGTAAGTTCAATCAATAATTCCTGACCTTATTCAGTTCAAATTTTGAAGAATAGAAGCAGAACTGTAATATCAGCACACCAGAGATTCCTCTTGGCTTGAAGATTGTACAGCCGATCTATAGCCACTATACAATGGGTCATCAGAAGCTTGGTAAGTGAGAATCTTTGAAGGAACTCTCTCATATTCAACACATTGCAGATATCCATTAACACAACCTATAACAGAACAAAACATGACACCTCAAGATCAATCTCGTAACTGCAATTGGGTATAAATCAAGATATACTCAACATTATGTCGTTTTTGGCAGATATCTCCAGGAGACAATCAAAATTAAAGACAAAAATGAACCAACCTTCCAAAGAAACAGCAACACCCGTGAAGTTTTTCACCACCAGCTTATGGAGATCCTCCCCTGCCCAGATGGGGTATATGAGTATATTTACACACAAACATATGCCAGCACCGACTCCAATAAGCAATAATCGATAAATTGCTGTTTGGAAGAATGATGAAGTCCCAGACACCAGGACGATACAATAAGTCAACAAGAATACCCGAAATCCGTATTCATAAGACTTCATTGGCGGATAAAGCTTCGCATAACTAGCACAAAAACCTAATACCACAAAACCCAACAGTCAATTCAGAGAAAGGATTTATCATAAACAAAGAAAACCTGCAAGGTGCCAAATAGTAAAGAACCGAAAAAAAGGTCAAATTTCTCTACTGATACTGATCAATATCAACTAACTTAATACCTGCTATGAAAACACTGATTACAATAACAACCTCCTGGAGATCGCCTGCCCACACAGATGCTTCTGCGATACCCAAAGCAAGCCCTCCAGCCGAAAACGTCCCCAAAGCACGATTAAAACCTTTGTTCAGGGTTGCACCTTTTAACAACAAAATGACAATTATCTTTCCATTAAGCACACAAACAAACAAAAAAGGGATCAACTTTGTTTGATACTTTTGCTCTTTTCTGTGACTTGAAAACTTGAATTAGACAAACATAAGCCGATAAGCATGATGAGAAGAACTAATACCTACGCTGAATTCAAAGACGACAACGACTGTGAGAATTGCCCAGATGGAATACTGGCTAACATCTTTAAGGGGCTCCTTGAAAAATATGAGCAGCGATACAATTGACAGCGACATCCCCATCTTGGCAGCAAAGACAGCTTTTCGAGGATCCGAGCGACCCATTTGATACAATTTGATAAAAGTATCCTGAAAATTCTTACATAAATTGTTAAATCCATCAGAAACTGCTCGAAAGCATCCACATTTGACATGCTCATCGCCGGTTTCAGAGCTGTTGAGGCCAAAATCCGAGTACCCTTTTCTCGATAGCAGCCTCTCCTTGCTTCTCTCGGCAAAACTGTGCCTAAAGGAACCAATTTTGGCCGCCATTTATTCGACACAGACAGATATAAGATTGAAAGAGGAAAAAACTCAGAGTACAGGAGGGGGATGATGAGTACAAGGAGACATTGGCGCATCACCGTGAAAAATGATAATGCATTACTATGTATAAGAAAGACGGTGTCGTTTGGTCGTTTGGTAGTTTGGGCAGTTGAAAAAGTTTGGAGCTTGAGAGGTGGTTGAATGGGTGGTGCGACCGTGCGAGAGACGTGGAGAAAGTTATAGAACGCACGGAAAACAGATACAAATATAAAAATGGGGACTGGTAGGATAGTGAAGATTTTATGCTCTGCAGCCGTCCAGGTTCAGGCTCTCCACGTGTTACGACCCGGTTGGCTCTAGAATTGACATCTCCACTGAAGCTGCGACCCGCAGGGGGTTTTATCATGTGCAGGAGGGTGTTGCTATCTACAGCTTACTCCACCACAGTCAACGAATCCCATATCCTTTTTTAAATAATTTTTGTGTGTGGTAATATCCGCATTTATTTATGTTTTTTTTTCTTCTTCTTATATCTCTCTCCTTTTCCTAATCTCGCCAGATGATGGCCAGAGATGAAGATTTGATCATGAATTTCCTGTGAGATCTTGGAAAAGGCTATACGAAAAAGAGAGTCTTTCTTCCCGTGCAAACCATAACTTGCTAAACGAAAAGAATAATTTATATTGTTATGAAAAAAAATGGTTAAGTTTATATTTTTCATGATTGGCAGTCACATGATCTATAAAGGCTCATTTATTTTAAACAATCATTGACAAAAAGATTAATTTTTTTTATAACAAAAGTATATCAGCAAAATCAACCATTCATACCAAAATTCAATCCATTGAACAAAATTGTATTAATTTGTTCTGAAATTTTCACCAATCAACTTTATTGATTTCAATTTCGAATTTTTTTTTTATACTAGCAATATTCTAATTTAATATAAACTAAATTAAGGAGAGAGGGATCCGAACTCGGATTTATAGTGGGGAGCACATCCACTCTAACCAATTTGGCTAAACCCATGTAATATTGATTTCAATTTCTATTTTTTTTTTATACTAGCAATATTCTAATTTAATATAATCTAAATTAAGGAGAGAGGGATCCGAACTCGGATTTATAGTGGGGAGCACATCCACTCTAACCAATTTGGCTAAACCCATGTATACATTTCAATTTCAATTCAAAGAGAAAATAGATAGAAAATTATGAAGTTATAATCATACATAACTTAATTAGCTCTTAATCTAGTGGTACATCTCTTTATAATATCTAAAATTCGAGTCTTATCTTTACATTTCATAAAATAAAAAATTGTAATCATATAAAAAACACAAGGATATATATACAGTTGGCTGAACTGGAGCCACACCCATGTAAGTGTGTTTCTTATATTAATGATTAAAGAGATTATTGAAACAATTGGGTTACAAAGTTATTATTATTTTAAGCCAAAAAAATAACCTGCTACATAATGTTATTTTTTGGAGGGTAAAATCAGATGTCTATGCTTATTTTATTGTTGTATTTTCCCCGCAAAATAACGGTCCTTTTTTTTGTCACTACTTGGTTAGGTAGATAAAACGGGCCGACCCATGGGTTTTTAAATGGTATCACTCTCTATACGTCTAGGGTTTCGAACAACGAAGCAAAATACCACACAGCGACGATGGAGAACAGCGAAAACGGCGGCGTCGAGCCCAAGCAAAAGAACAAGGGCAAGCACCGCAAGCCAAAACCTTGGGATGACGACCCAAACATTGACCGCTGGAAGATTGAGAAGTTCGACCCTTCTTGGAACGAAGGTGGCATGCTTGAAGTAACCTCATTCTCCACGCTATTCCCTCAATACAGAGGTACCAGCTCTCTTCTTCTTGTTCCTCTTCCTTCTTGGTGCGTTTGGCTACTTAGAAATTGTGGGAAAACAAATGTAAATTTTTTACTTTTTAAGTTTTAGTCATGAGAAAAGTGCTTGAGATTTTGGGTCACGTTTGATGGGGTGCATTTGCATTGCCTTGCAGAAAAATATTTGCAAGAAGCCTGGCCTATAGTGAAATCTGCTTTGAAAGAGTATGGCATTTCATGTGAACTGAATCTGGTATGTCTCAATAACTGTTGTTTGTGCAAACTCATGTATGATTTGAAGTACCTAATAAATTGTTACATTTATAATGTCCTTAGGTTGAGGGTTCCATGACAGTCTCTACAACCAGAAAGACTAAGGACCCATATATTGTTGTCAAAGCTAGGGATCTTATCAAACTTTTGTCAAGAAGTGTTCCTGCTCCTCAGGTACAAAGTCAGATTTCTTTATTGTGATTATATTCTTTTCTGTGAATTAGTTTTTCTATAAGTTCAAATGGATTGTATTCTTATACACCTTAAAAAAAGAAAAGGTTAAATGGTTTGAAGTAGCTGTTAAGGTATTTCGTTTTATTCTGTCGATGTAATTCCATTTCTCTATTGAGGCTATTATATTGGTTTCAGAATCAGCAGTAAAAATATACTTTATATTCTATGTCAGAATATGAGTATCTCAGTGAAAAGCTCAGTAGAAATATTACTACCTATAATATATGATATTTATGCTGAAATTTCTATTGGAAACTCCTTTTTTCTTCTTCTTCATGGAACTGATTTAAGGGCTGAGCTATTTTGTGTTAATTTTCTGGTTCAAGTTCTCAACTTTTTGGTTTCAGGCAATAAAAGTACTGAATGATGAAATGCAATGTGACATCATCAAGATTAGTAACTTGGTGAGAAATAAGGTGTGTATTGCTTCAACTTCCCTTCCTTTATTTGCAGCAGGGGACTGTCAATTTTCTTAAAAACAGATCCAAGTCATTGACCTCCTATCAATTTTTACTTTAATTTTATTTTTTGGAAACCTTCTATGTAGTTCTAATGCAGGACCTTCTAGTTTGATGCCAAATACTAAGTTGTATTATAGAATTGTGGTGTAGAATTCTAAGTTGTAGTGTAGAGTTGTGGCTTTGACATGTCAAATGCTTCCGGATGATTTTCAAACCTATATTTCCCCTTATTTGGGTACAATATATGGGCTACAAGATAGGAGGTACCCCTCCACTTTCCTCAAACTCCTCCATACCCTTTGGGTTCAATCCCTACCCAATACCCCCTCTATTACTAGGGAAGAGGTAGGACTTGGCTACAACAATAAGTACTGACTGGAACTTTTGTAATGCTAAGATATGCAAGAACTGACTTTTCAACTTCCTCCAATCTCTTCCATTGAGTACAGGAACGATTTATTAAACGGCGGCAACGTCTCATGGGCCCCAATTCGTCCACTTTAAAGGTGCATAAAGTGATTCAGATATTGTGTTTTACTGACTACTCTCACCCAAGAAAATGAAAAAGAAAAATTATAGTGCAAATATCTTTGATTACACATTCCATTAGGTAAATCTTTAAATCTTTGTGCTGTTTCTCTAATCTTACATTATAATTTGGATACAGGCACTTGAAATACTGACAGGCTGTTATATTCTGATCCAAGTAAGTGTTCTATTCCTTGTGATTTTGATTGCTATTTTGCACATTTTTATTTGAAGTGGAATTATGGATTAAAGATTTTTAATTTTCTTGTAAATGAATAGGGAAACACTGTTTCTGCAATGGGTTCATTTAAACCATTAAAGCAAGTCAGGAAGATTGTGGAAGACTGCATGCAGAATGTAATGCATCCCATATTTCATATCAAGGTGAATATAATTGCTCTTTGACTTGACAAAGTTACTGTTTTTGATCTGAAGATCTGTGAATGAATGAATCTCTCTTAAGTACCTTTTATCTCTTCCCTCCTGGTAAACAGATTCTCATGGTGAGGAAAGAACTTGAAAAGGATCCAACACTAGCACATGAGAGCTGGGATAGATTTCTTCCGAAGTTTAAGAAGTATGACATCTACTTCATTTGTTCATAATTATGCGCATGCATAGAATTGTAATACTTTTATTTTGAACTATTCTCTCTCTCTCTCTCTCTCTCTCTCTCTCTCTCTCTCTCTCTCTCTATCCCCAGGAAAAATATTAATCAAAACAAGGTTAAGAGTAAAGAGAAGAGACCATATACACCTTACCCACCTCCTCCACAACCTAGTAAGGTGAGTGATTGCTACCAGACCCTTTTTTGTTTTATCCTCCTGCAAGGAGTCTTTGTCCTGTTGTGTCCGTTTTTATCATGTTTGGTCCTGCTGCATCCTGTGGTTTTGCATGAAATTTTTATAAAGTTGCTATATTTCTGAATGAAGCATAATAAGGTTGCTATATTCCTAAATGAGCATAACAAATTGCTACGTTTCTGAAGCTACTTTGTCTATATGGATGGAGCATGTAATCTGCCTAAAAATATGAAAAGCAGTCCCTGTCATAGTTAATGGTAGAGGCCTAATTTGTTGATATTTTTACCATTTTAGTTCTTTATTGTAGTCTGATTTGTATCTATTTAAATATCCATTCTTTTTTCCTGATGTTCTTCATTTTCCAGGTTAATTTAAATTTGAATGGAAAATCCTTTTTAGTGGTCGGATGCATTTTGGCTGTTGCTTCTTTATCTCTGTTGAATGAAGACTTTCTCTAGAATCATTGGTTGTAGTGGGCCAGATAATTTGTATAGAGATTTTTTTTGTTTGTTGAGGTTTTATTGATTTGTTTTGTATGTGGAAAAAATGATTAGTCTTGGATTACTTGTTTTCTTCCTTTTCCCTTGATTGTTATCATTCTACTTGAAAGTGTTAACGTCCACTCACTCTTTATAAGGAGTTTTTCTATAATCAAATTGAAATATGTGAATAATATGTGCTTGCAATGTTATAAAACCTTTTTCAGATTGACATACAATTGCAAACTGGAGAATACTTTTTGAATGACAAAGTGAAATCAGCAAAGAAGTGGCAAGAGAGGCAAGAGAAGCAGACTGAAAAAACTGCAGAAAACAAGCGAAAAAGAGAAGCTGCTTTCATCCCTCCAAAGGTAGGGACATATGAGTTCCACCTAGAAATTTATCTTTTGTTTGTATCATGTGCTTTGAGGTTCTTATATCCTCCTAGTCAGGAGCCTGTATTTTTTAAATTCTGTCCTTCCTACCAGCTATTACTAATTTTCCTTCTTTCTTTTTTTTTTTTTTCTGAATCAGGAGCCTGTAGTTCAGGATACCAAATCTGACGATGGTGGCAAAGACCTGGCTGCCATGGCCATATCTTTAAAGGTAGATTGAAATGATCTATAGAACTCCATTATACATTCCGAAATTGGCATGACAGGCTGAAAGGTCACATTTTGATCCAAATAGAAAAACATGGGTCTCTTCTTGGTTTCTTTCTATCTTCCCTCCTTTTTGTTAATTGCATCCGCTGGTTAATTTGCAGAAAAAGGCAAAAGAGTACGGAAGACAAAACTCGGCTGAGAATGTAAATGCAGAAGCATATATTGCGGAATCTGGTGAACCTTCCAAAAAGAAATCCAAGCGCAAGCATTCTTAGATATTTTGAATTGTGTGTTGTGATATGTTGCCTCATAGATGAGTGTTGGATGTGTATGATCTGATCAAACTTGACTCATATTTTTGTCTGTGCATCCAGTAAGTTATCGTCGTGTATGCAAGGCGTTATCTAAACTTACAAATCAAATGTATTAAACAAAAGAACTTAACGAGCAACTTTTCAATTTAGTTAACAAACTGCGTGGGTGTTTTGGAATTAGGATCTTACGTTTTCAAGATTGAAATTTTCTGCTATATAAAATAAGCAGTCAGCCCAAATTCAATAACATTTCCCATTAGGTTGAAGTAATAACGCAATCGAATGCCACAAGGTTTTCAGTAATTGGAAGATGATGATGAAAATGGAAGCCAGCAGTTTGAATTAAACACCAAACCCATCTCAAGTTTTGTACCTGAAACACCAAATCTGCCACTACCATGGCCAAATCCCGGATTTCTCTGTAGGCGGTGCATTAAGAACAGGCACCTTAAAGTCTGCTTTCTCACCTAGTTCTTGGAAGGTGTCAACCACATTTTGGAGCCGGGCAACAAGCTCAATCAGAAGCGATGCGAATGTGGCCAAGGACAAGGCGCTTGCGCTTTCGTATGTTCTGCAATCATCTTCCTTAATGACTCCATGGCCACCAAATGAGAGAGGCAAGGGCCAAGATGCTTGATCCCTAAACATGTTGTCTGATGAAGCACTTTGTGGTGCACAAGATGTGCACGCTGTTGTAACTGGCCTCAGGTCAAGCACAGTTTCACTTAAGGACTTAAAACCCAATTGCATGTTATCATGTTCCTTAGCATCCAAAAGCCCTTGAGGGTCTTCTTCTAGCTCTTTAGGCCGTCTTCCAATTTCCCACCTCTCTGAGTTGACCAGAAGGTACGATTTTTGGTCTATCTTCTTCTGTAAATGCTCTGCTGCCTCGTGCACATCTTTGAGTATGTCGCCGGGGCCTAGCTTTTCCATCTTCTCTACTTTCTTTCCAAGTTCTCGCAAGACTTTTGCACCTTCTGCTCCTACCCGCTGGAGCTCGCTACAAAAGACCTGCCTCTTTTCTGCTGGGGCCTGCATGCATGTACAAAATTACAAGCCAATAATCTTATAAAAAGCTTCTCTTTTTTTTGGGACCAGAGAAAGAACTGGTTGAATATACAAAAACATAAACATAATCACCTGTATTTCGGAAAGAATGCATCCATGCAGAGCCATAACCATAAATGCACAATGCCTCAGTGCACCACTTAATTTGACAAAATTTATCCAAGGATATTTCAACATTCTGTACGGCCCATGAGGTGGCTCCCAGATTGCAAAGCCCAACTGCACTTGTGGAAAACAAGTCAAGTAATTAACAACTCCCCTGCTTCCGCGCTAGAAAAATCAAAACCCAATTCTTGTCCAAGTCGGATAAATCATACCAGAGTTTCTTCTTGGCTCGTAGATTCTACCACGGATCGGTAGCCCTTGTATAGCGGATCATCTGCAGCTTGGTATGTAAGAATTTTTGATGGGATCCTCTCATATTCAGCACACATCAAGTACCCATTAACGCAGCCTAAGCAACAAAGTTGGATAAATTAATAGAGCGGAAGGCTAATTAGGAGTTGAAAATTTTCAGTGAAGACAAGGACAAGCATGCATTGTTGAACATATATATACCCTCTAATGAAGCCGCAACTCCCTTGAAATTTTTCACTACCAAGTTATGCAGATCCTCTCCTGACCATATGGGGTATATGCATATATTCACAACCAAACAAACAGCAGCACCCACTGCAATAAGCACCAATCGAGTCGCAACTGCCTCATTATAGTACCCTGTTCTGTTCCCAGCAACCATGAGGATACAATATGTCAACACGAAAACCCGAAAGCCATACTCGTAGGGCTTCATTGTTGGGTACAGCTTCAAGTAAGATGCGAAAAATCCTGTAGGGTCTCAAAAAATCAGAGTTAGAAAAGTGGAAAAACCAAATATTTCAAAGGAGATTGAGGAGATTGAGTTTAAATATGGTTTTAGTTTGCAAATACTAGTACGAACCAACGATGAAAATGCTCATAACAATTACAACTTCCTCCAAGTTTGCTGCCAGCAAAGATAGCTCAGCAAAGCAGAAGGCAAGTATTCCAGCAAACAATGTTCCCAACCCACGATTGAATCCCTTAATGAAAGTCCCTCCTGCATGAAATAAAAAATAAGATTAATGTTACGTTTAAAAGAAAAACTAAAAGCCTGAACTGTGACTTTACATTTTGAAGTCAAATGTTTATACCTATGCTAAACTCGAACATCACAATGACTGTGAGGATAGCCCAGATTGAGTACTGACCAATATCATGATATGATTTTTTCCAAAATATTAGCAGAGAAACAATGGACAAAGCCAGTCCCATTTTTATTGCAAAGATGACTTTCCTGGGATCAGAGCGGCCCATTTCCCATGCTTTACTAGCAAAGTCTAGTAAATCTTTCCAATACTTCATCACATTGAAACATGTGCATCTGCTTTCTGCTTTTTCATACTCATCTTCTTTGAAGCTGCCCAAAAGAGACTTTTCCATGTTCTTTAAAGACAGATTAGGTAGACTGATTCTTCTTTGCCCCAACAAACAGCAGAGTACCACAAATTAGCAAGCAAGAACTTGAAAACTAAAAGCGAGGAAAATAATAAACACAATTTATTGGTTTATATTTGGCAAAAACAAAATGCTTCAGTGTTGAGAAAAGAAAAAAGAAGGAAAAATCTCACACTAGAGAGTGTCACTTCTCATTAATTGTAGCAAACTATATCATTGACAACTTGACAAAGCATTTCGTGGTTTATATCTTACAAAAAGAATATGGTAGGCCGTGCCGCATTTGGGTCACATACAAATATATTTGATTTTCCATTATTACTCTTATTCAATTTTATATTCCATTTACTTTATTTAGGTAATTCTAGCATGCATGACTCTGCCTCTGGTGAAAAATAATGTATGGCAAAAATTGTTGGCCCCATGGCCTTTTACCCGTTAGAGAATAGAGGGGAAACTTCATTCCCTTGTCTTTCTGTTTGTACATTGTCTTGTTGTCCTGAGATGAATAGAGGAAGCTTCACATTTTCATGTAGTGGTACCATTTCTGGCACTGCTGTCTTTGTCCTGGGATGAATAGAGGAAGCCTGATCTGCTCTTGAAATATAATAAAGTTACAGATCTACATTTAATCCACTGGAATATCAGTGAGCTATATTGCTATTATTGTGCACGGTAACGAATGTGTAGTTACAGTTCCTCATCCAGATTCAAACAAACAAGGTACGCAACTAAGCCAACCACTGGCACAAATCTAAGATAATTTACAATACCAATCTTACTGCTCTGAACATTTTGAAGATTTTCACCAATCAACCAAGGCTGGAAGACAGTGTAAAGACCAATATCCCAAATGAATGCATAAGCCAGCCTCTCTGATCCTAGATAACTGATCAAGAACTCCCATCTGTCTGAAATGCTCCCAAAGTTGCCGTCAATTCGGCCAAAAAGAGCCCACAATGCAGATATCAGACATATCGCTCCACCAACAAGTCCGACAATGGGAGCACCATTGGTCATCACAGACCCAAGTTGTGAGCGCTTGCTCGGAGTGTAGTCTGACTCAGCCTCATTTAGCCGAATAGCCATGTAAGGTATTAAAAAAGCTGTTCACATCACATACGAAACAATCAGGACATAAGGTCGGTGGAATCTGACCAAAAAAGGAAAGGGTCGGTGGAAATGTAGCTGGAGTCTAAAACATGCTCATTGCAAAGTAAACTTGAAATCATAGATTATCAAATTAAAGTGATTTTAGCCTACAATCACATATATAATGTGTCTTTCCTAGACAGTTGGGCAATGCATGATCTTGATTGAGAAATTAACAAGATGATATGCCAAACAAAAGATTGTTGCTTTCTGTACATATTTTCTGTGTAGGCTATTGAAGGTAAAGATAGTTGCATTTGTGACCTACATGGTTAAGCTAATCCAACACTCACTCAATCCTCAAGTACGAGAGTTTGGAAGAAAGCATACTATTTGTAAGAAACATCTGAAAGCCCCATAAGACGTCTAGAGACCCCTTGTATCTGTCCCTCTTACGATCCGTGAACAGCAAAGGAGCAAACATGAATGTCCACCCAATTACAAAGTTGAATAGCCCTTCTGACATCTAATTCAAACACATAAACAGAAAAATATTGGCCTATGATAAAATATATATATATATATATATGCTTAAATTATGAAACTTGGTAGTAAAAACCACATCTACTTGGAATGACAAATTCTTACCGGGTGAAGTACTGGGGCATTAATCAAACCAGCAGTAACTACTCTGCCAAAAAGTTCATTTCAGAATTCATCAAGAGAAAAATTAATAAGAATTTTACCAGTATTTGTCTAGTAGAGCAGAACCCAGAAAATCAATAACAAATATGACCCAGTTGAGCTTACAAGAGTTCAAAAGAGGCAAGATAAAGAAGAAATTCAGAGAGAGCCCCACAAGAGAATTCACTGTATCAGAACTTATAGCCCACACTGGGTCTCCCTGTTGTAATATGAAAAGCAAAAAACTTTATCAGCTAAGATTGTATATAAGAATGTTAGTCAAGTAAAAAAGAAGGCTACATTTACACACGGGAGCATAAGGAAGGAGAAAAAGCCACAAAATGTAGACTGCCTCAGCAACCCACAGAACAATCTGAAGCACTCTCTCTGAGCCATCATTCTCCTGTTGAACAGTGGTTGTGGGTTTTCGACGAGCCGCGCGGCACACAAGTGTTTTCAATTTAGAGTCCCCTTTGTGGGTTGCGGGTGATTGTTGTGAAGGCCACTTTTGGAGGTCCAGTGCTGCAAAAACTGGCCTTTGTGTGCAAAAATGGGTCTTGGGACGAGGGCTGAAGGAGGGTTTGGTTGAGAAAATGGGGCGGTTGGTGCAGAGCAGAGGCTGAGATGTTGTGCTGCTGATGATGGCCATCGTTTCTGAGAACGAAACGGCATTGCGTGGCATGCCTCACGACACCAAATTAACGAGTTGTTGTTTATGTAAATTCGGTGTTTGATGCGGGGGTAAATTTGTCCAATCGAACACTCGACATTTAAAGCGGCAGACGACGCCGTCCCGAAAAAGGAAGCCCATTATTAGCCTACGAGTTTTAGGAGGCAAAGCCGTTCCATTTCAAAACGAAAGCAAAAGCTTTCAGAAGCTTCTTCCCGCCCTTTTCCGTACTGTTTCCGATCAATGGCTCCCAAATCCGATAGCACCGACGGTAACCAAATTCGTGAACGCTTCTTTTTTGTTGAGTTGATTTGATTTTCAATCTGGTTTTACTGAATGTTAAACGCCTTGTTGCTTTGGTTTTACGAAATATTGCAGCTATCGTTCTCAGATACTTGAATGAGGTAAAATCAAATTTCTTATCATTAATCGTCTGCGTTTAGGTCTTATTACTTTTGTTTCTCCGATTATTATATACTTTCTCTGGATCGAATTATTTTTTTCTTATTAAATTGATGAAATGTGTATTTTTCCCTTCCGATTTTTGGCTGTTTGGGAGGTGGGAAAATCGAATTTCCATGATTAAGCTCAAATGAGCTTCCTCCACAAGCCAGTTGTGATTAATTTGCTTTTTCCTGTTGTTTGCCTCTGTTTCCCTATAGTTTTACTAGAAAGAAAATAAGTTAAGAAATTAAATAAGTTGTGTAGATATTTTCTAGGGAAACAAACAGAAGGCACTAGGCACAGTATGTGCTCTCCCTAATGCTCATGTAAACTTGTCTCCCTTTATCCAGCAAAATAGGCCACTAAATTCTCAAAATGTGGCGGATGCATTGCAAAAATACAACCTCAAAAAGGCAGCCATACAAAAAGCTCTGGATACTCTTGCTGATAATGGGAAGATTTCATTCAAGGAGTATGGTAAGCAGAAGGTATACCTTGCTCGGCAAGACCAATTCGACATTCCAAACAGTGAGGAGCTCAGCCGGATGAAGCAAGAAAATGAAAAACTGCAAGAACAGTTGGGTGAACAAAAGAGATCGATTAGCGAGGTTGAGGGAGGTACATGTTAAATTCTTTACTACATTTCATGTTTTCCAGAATTGAGTGTGGTAGTCGACATTTTTTATTATCGGGTTAAGACTTTGCCTAGTGAATTTGAATTTTCGTTTTGCACCGTTGTTGCAGAAATTAAAGCTTTGCAGTCAAATTTGACCCTGGAACAAATAAGGGAGAAAGAAGCCAAACTGACAAATGAGGTATGCTAATTGGATATGTTTGACATTACATTAGTCAAAATATGTGTCTGGGAAAAAGAGGATAAGGAATATGGATGAAGTGTGGAGTTTTGAATTCTGTATTAGGTTAATGAAATGGAGGACAGATTGGAAAAATTGCGTGGAGGAGTTACTTTGGTCAAGCCAGAAGACCGCAAGGCAGTTGAGCAAATGGTCTATGAGAAAATAAGTCAATGGAGAAAGCGCAAAAGGATGTTCAAAGATCTGTGGGATTCTATTACTGAGAATTCACCTAAAGATGTCAAGGAATTTAAGGTTTGCCTATATGGGATCTTCTATGTTCTTATGAACTTAGGCATTATGCTATGGTGTAGTTGTAAATAGTCTGTTATGTTATTGCAGGAGGAGATCGGGGTTGAATATGATGAAGATGTTGGTGTGAGTTTGCAGTCATATAGTGACCTGCTACAACGTGGCAAGAAGCGATCATCTAGTGACCTGCAACAACAGTGTGCAAAGCGACCTCCACTCCAGTGAGTTTTTTCTGATGAAGCCATGCATAGTCAACGATTTGGAAATGAGTTGCCTGGCTTTCTTAGCAAAGGATGATCTGCTTCAAATGTATGTAATGTATCTTTTGCATGCTCTGGAGATTAATATTTAGGCTTATGTCATGTATCCTAGTTGATAAATCGACCGTTTACTGATTTAACATGCTGAAACCTTTTACAAATGATAAATATGATACAATTTATCTAGCTCTATTGGTTTTTAAGACGAGTTTTAGTGTCTAGCTCGTACTTGCAATGATGCATAAGCCAATTTATGAAAAAGAGGACCCATCCTAAGCATGCGCCTATACTTACCCAAGACACAAAGTTCTCCCATATGTGCGAATGGGCCTAGCGCCTAGAGGAGTAATGGGGGCCTAGGTGGATGCCTTGCCGAAATTATTTTGTATTATAAATTATATATTTATACCGAAATTAATTTTAAAAAATGTATATATGTGAGTCATATCATATATGCTTTGATATAAAGCAATGGGTTGAAATAAAAAACACAATAAGGTTATGCTTTAGTATATGGGCCCAAGCCCATAAGAGAACCTTTTTAAAATATCAGCCCATAATTGAAACACAGCGTTTCACTAACCTTATCTTCACCTTTTTTTGGACGAACCCTATCCTCACTCATCTCTCATCTCTCGGACTCCATCACCTGACCTCCCATCTCTCTCCCTCCATCGTGTCTCCTCTTGCGCGCCTTTGAAGTAAGATGAGCCCAGCAGCAGCTACAAAGAAAAGTAATTCTCTGGCGCCTACCCCTAACGATTAGGGTGAAAGCGCGGCGGTGTCCTCCCGCCTAGCGCCTAGGCCGTTTTTTCGAACACTATCAGAAGTGAATGTTAGACGGTGTCATCTCAATTTTTTTTCCTGTAAGAATTTGTTTGGGGTTGTGTTTATGCTGCAAATTGTAATTCAAGGGTGTTGAATCGAAGGAGTTCAAGTTGAGGAAATTTGTGCACTCATGCCCATGTACAAGTAGAACACACTGCAATTCCCAGACTACAATTTTGAGACCTCACAATATCAACAAATTAGAACTGAAAGTACCGATGTTTCAAAAATTATCACACTAAGTTTACATTTCCACCAACAACAAAAAACAAAAAAATCAAAGATCAAGAAACAATCAAATTTATAGACGACATAATTTATTAGCAAAACCAACAAACAAGACTAATGATTCTCAGTACCCACGCACCCCTCTTGTCCTCAGAGAGAATGGTGCCTTCTCTATGTTTAATCTTGGTGGGCTTTGCCTTCCAGACCCTCCAGCAGCATGTGCTGACTCAACCTTCAGCCCAGATTGAAACCTTGAAGGAATTTGCTTATGAGATGAGGGCATGGCATTTTGTTCATTGTCACTCTCACTCTCATCAAAAGCTATATTCTTCCCTGAAAGACTGGCATGGACTATGGCATCACCATCTGAATCTAAACTTGAAGAAGATGTTGACCTCTTCAACTCTTCACCTCTATTTTGCTCATTTTGTGATTCAGATTCACTTTTAAAGGACTCATATCTGTCAGATAACCTTCCTCGTTTACTACCAGGACTATTTTGATCATCAGGATCATGAGATTCAGACCTAGACAGTTCCACTGCTGCTCTTGCAGCTGCTGCCGCATAAGCTGCAGACTCGAAAGCTGCTTGAGCAGCATCAGCTACATCCTTGTATTTCCTGCTCTTAAGTGAACCAGAGAACCTATCATCTTTTTCTGTTTCTTGTGCGAAAGCCTGCAAATTATCCGCTGATGCTGTGCCACTTGAACTGGCCGGTGGGTTTGGTGCAGCCTGGTTTTGATTCTTGTTCACATCCAACTTCTCCTGCATTATTGATCACACACAACAAACCACATGCCATGAATACATAATTGTCAAAGTCTCAGAGCAAATGACAGTTCCATTCTATTTTTCTTGTAATTCCTGTTTTTGTTTTCAAGTTGCATACCTCAGTGGAAACAGAAGTAGTTTCCTCCAGCTGCAGAACAATGCTATTCTCTGCAGCAATTTCTTTGAGCACCTTCATTCTGATCTCCAAAACTGGCATCCTAGTTGACAGTTTTTGCATCATCTACAGAAACCCAATATCCACACAAAAATATGCAATTATTAACAAAGGAAAAGTGGCAAAAGTAGTCAGAGACTTTTCCTTTTTGTTTTTTTTCTTCTTTTAATGTCAAAAAGGAACAAGATCTCATATTTGGTGTTTCTTTTATCTCATTGAACAATTTCACAAATTCATATATTCATTTCCCAAAAAAGGAAATACATACCGTAAGGTTGACTCCACAATTGTTGCGCACTTCAATGGCACGAGCAGCAAATTCCTTGCCAAAACGAGAGGTCAGAACCGTACGAATCTCTTGAAGCTCTGGGAAATCCCCACATCTTGAAGCCGCATAAAGCAAACTCGACGTTGCCTCCCTCAGTTCATCAGGACATACTCTGTAAATAAACCAAACCACAAGCTAATCTGATCAGCCTAGCAAACCTATATATATGCATGAATATAACACCACAAAAAGTAATTAAATGAGATCACTAGCAAACCTTTCTTGTTCAATGAGGTGAACCCTTTCAATCACGAGGTTGCAGTAACGCTCTATCATGACAAGCACATCCAACATATTCTGCTCCTTAATCACCTGCTCCACCTGCCAACAACAAAACAAACCCTCTTGAGTCTCAAAGTCAACGAGAAAAATAAGTTACCCAGAAAAATATTTGATCACAAAGTTAGAAGAAAATATAAATCCTACCCGAAGAAGAGCTCGTTCATGGTGACCAAGTTGGAGGAGGTGAAGAACATCAGAGCGGGCTTGGGAGAACTTGACCTGGCGCAGGTTCTTGAGGACAGCAAGGCGAGACAGAGCAAGATTCAAAAGTGGTTTGAGCTTGGAGGTCTTGTAAGTCCTTCCGAGCAAAGCATCGAGCTTTCTTCCCATATCGCCTTCTTTCTTCTGTATAATTCCAGGCACAACCCAACAAACGAGCCCTGGATCGTTTGCTCCTTTACGAGATGACGACGATGAGAGAAAGAACGAATGACTCGGTGACTGTACGACTTTCTATGAGTACATGGAGCTTCTTCGCTGCTTACGTGTTTTGTTTATGTGTTTTTGTAGAATTTTTGGCTTAAGGGCTAAGTCTCTAGATGGAGATGATGCAAATGTAGACGTGGTTTTAGTAAAACGCGGCTTATTAGTCTTAGATGGACAATTTCTGCGAAGAGAGCCAGAAAGCATCCAGTTGGTCAGACGCACTTCGGACACGTGGATCACAGTCGCGACGAAATGAAATCTTTTTATGGAATGGGTTTGTTTATGGTACGTAACAGCTTGTTGTTTTGCTCTAGTGGCTAGGCAACTATGCAGAGTGCTTCCCAGATCTGGACAAACTGGTGCTGGTTCTGCCTATTGAGGAGGATTTTGGTCAAATTAGGGCAAGTGAAAGACGAAATCAATTTCTAATGAATGTTCACTCTGCTGTAATTCTTAAATGAATAACACTTTGTTCCTTAATCTTCCCAATTTGGTGGTTCGGTTAGGCGTCGTATTAGCAGTGGACCCATTACTTAGCAGTGGCCAAATGAATAACACAACCAACAAAATAGAAATAATATTTGCCCATCTAGGATTATCCTCTAAGGCCTGTACCCGACAAGTTAGTAGGGAGGGCGATTGCTTAGGGCACTTTTGAGTGTGGTCTTGGTGACATGTGAGGACAAATGGATGTGAATTGGAAGCTTCTTATAAGACTGAACCCAAAAATTGCAAGAAACCTATTAATTTGAATTCTTCAATCTCCTTTTGACCACAGAACCTGCCAACTAGTCTAGAAGAGTAAACTTATCAAAGCCCGTGGCCCACGTAATTGACAATTTAACACCACTGGCGTAAAGGGCTTTTGGTAGCATGTTACCATCGAATCATTATATTATTAAAAATGGCAGGCGGCTCTATTCTACCATTTTCTTCTCTTTTGTTATATGAATCACGCGACGCGACAAGAGCTGCATATAAAATTACAATTCCCTCACGACAATTTTAAACACAATTCATATCATTACACTAGATTTGATTGAATATAATAAAGGCTTAATATCATAAAATGTGACTAAGATTTACGAAATTATCAGATTGCATCCTTAATATTTTCTTTGTGCAATTCATGGTCTTTAAGGTTAGTATATGTGATCACAAATGGTCTCTGCTATTATGTTTCGTCAAAAATTCCGTTAGTTTGCTAACATGACATGTATATATTACAAAACATCCCTGAGATTCACGCACCTATCACAAATGGTCTCTACAATTTTTTTTTATTTTTTTATTTAAAATTCATAAAATTTTGTATTTTAAATACACATGACACTATATTTTTGAAGATGTGGACTCCACATATATGTCACATTAACAAACTAATGAAGTTTTTTAAAAATAATTTAAAATTCATAAAATTTAAAAATGAAAAAAACCATTTATAGAAGGATTTTAACCTTGAGGACCATTTATGAACCATAAACTCTTCGTTTTTCATTTTTAAATTTTATGAATTTTAAATGAAAAAATAGAAAAAATTCATAGGGACCATTTGCGATAGGTGTGTAAACCTCAGGGATGTTTTGTGATATATATATATATATATAAATGCCACGTCAGTAAACAAACGGAGTTTTTTTATAGAACCTAACGATATGGACCATTTGTATTCACACATATTAACCTTAAGGACCACGAATGACACAAAAAAAAACATTAAGGACCCAATCTGATAGTTTCGTAAACCTTAGGGATGTTTTGCGATATTAAGCCTATAATAAAAAGTAACAATTAGGCTGCATAATGATATACAGTTGTCTTTGCAGCACAGATCACGCAATATAAAGTACTCACAAGCCCTATATATATATATATATATATATATATATATATATATATATCTTTTTCACAGCAGAGTTTGTTAACTTTCGTGTAAACCCGCTTGGTTACTTTACATTAGACTTGTGGAATCATACGCGTTAATACAAAATTGTTATTTTCCACAACAAGTCTCTTCAGAAGTCTCCTTGTTGATCAAGCAAGGAAAAAAGGCAGAACCCTCTAAAATATAATGGTATAATGGTGTAGAGACGGTGGAACTTGACACTCATGGTAGTTTAATTGACATTGGATACTGAAGATGAAAGTTCATCCAAGATACAGGTTGTGGATAGTTATTATTGTACAAGGGCAAGATATCAAAAGAAAATCATATTAGAACAAGGGCATTTTCCTTTCCTTTTCTACCATTATATATAATGGAAAGAATTGATCTGAGGTTACAAATGGAACAAGAACAAGAATACATCTGTTATTTATTAGACCAGCAGACGTTTATGATTTTCAAGAACAAAATTACTATCTATACCAATCCAAATTATTACACCATAAGCTAAACACCCGTTTCTGATATAACAATCGGGTTTATCAATGACTCCAAAAGCTCCTACTGAAAAGTAATAATTGAAAACAATGGGCACGGCATATAACAAGTTACAATATTTGGGTCCGAAATGGACACACACAGCAGTAGCTTTTTTTAAAATCCAAGAAGCCCATCACCAAAAAGAAACAGAGCCTGCAATTGATTAAAACACGCCTCATTTTCTATGAATTTGGCAAAAGACCCATTGGGCGAGTATGCCACTGCTCTCCAGACAAAAGCAATCCAAGCCAAATACTGTTCCCCCCACCCCCTGGGGATCCTACCACTGAATTTCAATCAGTTGTCAGGCGTCCTACCCTAACATTTTCCACTCTGGAACATATGTGCCAATTGCTAAATAAATCAAATTTTATGGATCCTTGAATGTTGTTGGGTGCAGAAACACCTGCCTAACAGATATCATATGTACATATTCCATGGGGCAAAATGACAAACCAAGAAGCATGCCCCCCAACAGTATAGCAGATGACAATTTTATGGATTTTTGGGGTACTGTTCCAGAACTCTAGCAGCCTATTAGTTGGGATTTTGTCTTTTTATGTTATTTTCTTGAGTTATTTTGAACGGCTGTAGGTCATATGCAAGTTTCTTATGGTTTCAAGGGTTCACATCATCTTAGTCTCTTGATTTTGATTAAAAACAAAACTAGTCTTTGACTTTTTCAAGTTCTTTTAAATTCAATGATGAAAAATGGCAGAAATAAAAGGATGAATCATAACCAAATAGACAAACGAAACACAAGCCAATGACATCCTTTGTGATAAAAGAATACCAAATAAGCGAACAGAGAAATTAGAAATTTGAATAGAGCAGCTATTCTTTATAAATAAACAAAAAAAACATTCCCACATACTGAAGATAAGAAGGTTGAGAACTTGAGACAGATGATTGGGTGGTAAGAAAAACCAATGTATTGGAGAAGTCAAGAAAATAAAAACACACCTGCACAAGTAACACTTTCCAAAAGAAAGTATCCAGATATTTTTTAAGCCAACAGATGCAACACAAAAATAGCCTATCGAAGGAACCTGAAGACAGCTGTTCGAAAGTGCTGGACAACAATTTCATGAAATAAAAAGGTTACGCGCACATCCACAAACTACATTAGTTTCAAAGGAAATTACTTTCTTTAACTATATTTTAGTTTATTTATACAAATTAAATTATGTTTATATTAGGCCCCTATTTACTTTAAATTATTGTGTATTTTATATTCCCATTCATTGAAACAGACACAGCCCAAAAAGGTTGCTCCCACTGCCATAAGGGTATACAACCTCTCAATGGATTGATCATATCAGAATATCTCAGCATTACAGGCACCAGACACAAGTCTAAAGAATTTTGTTACACAAATTAGAATGCAATCTATGGATTTAGCAAAAATCAATAAGTAAATAGCCAATCAAAGAATACGAAGTGAAAAATTACACTAGACACAATGAACACAAAAAGTACCCAAATAGACAAATTTATGCTTTGAATATACTTACAAGTAGTGCAGGAGCATGGGGGCCATACCCTAAAACATAAAAATCAAGATTAAAACTACAGATCTTAATCAAATACACAGCCCACAAGGACGAAACTAAATTCATAGATTAAATTACTTACTCTTATCTTTTAGATCCGGCAGCAGCCACATGCCTCCTGTGCAAGAGCCTCCAGAATGACCATGGATCAGATGCAATGCAATCTCATTAGGATATGCATATTTTGAATGTAAGACAAACAAAAAGAAGTAGCATAGAAAACCCTCAAGCACAGACAAAGACCGACAAAACATACATGCCAGAATACAATTACATGGATTTAGTTTGACATCTAAGAAAACAAACATGGTGGGGTACAAGTCATCAATTGACCCACAGCACAGCATATTTCAGAATGCATGTACATGCACCTACACTTTCCGGATAACTAATACTACCTTTTTTTTTTGGTCTGAAACCAGATAACTAATACTATAGTAAATAAACAAATTAACAACTCTCACAATCTCACAAGCAAACCAAATAGAAAACACCAAAAAGAAGAAGAAAAAAAAAAAAAAAAAANNNGAAAACACCAAAAAGAAGAAAAAAAAAAAAAAAAAAAAAAAAAAGACTTATAAAAAGTTATCAAATCTACGGCAGTGACACTGTTAGATTCAGTTCGAATAAATTTCCAAGTTTACAACGAAGCTTTTATGCAGGAACAACATAAAGACAAATCATGCAACACAGTGACATCTACTTTCAAGTCCCTCACAAAATTCTCCCAATAAACAAACCAAGGTACCTTCTCCTGGGTTCCTTTTAAGCATCTAAGCACTGGAGTGTTGCCTCAAAGCAATGGCACATATCCTGAATGAAAAGTTAAATTAGAATCTCCAGAACCAAAGTACTTAAAATAAAGTGGCAATAAAGATACAACTGACAAAAAGAACATGAAAGGGAAGGATGTTAAACAAACCTTCGACCAATCATAACATAAGTCCTAAATACCACAATTATTTTTTAACAATGGAACTTCAATACAAGCAACAACGAAAAAAAAAATATACAAAAAGTACATAGTAAGGAAGCAAAGTAAAACAGGTAAAAAATAACCCAAAACTTTGGCAAAGGCTCAACTATGTTTTGTAAACAACCCATGAAGATAAATATATCCTCTGTTGTTCAACAGATTGAATTGCAGAAACCATGTTCCAAGTACACATATAATCATGATGGAAAATTATAATAGATGTAAATAATTTTCACATTGGCCAATCATGAATGATTACAGGGGGAAAAGACGCCTTTGGCTAGTTGTCTTACAATAGAAACAGTACACTCCACTGAAAGAACCCGCCAGTAATGAGTACTCCTGACCAAACATCACCCCTTTTGACTTCAACCATGCCAAAACTGTGTCAAAGCTCTCAGGCCATCACAGAGAAGAGAGATAATGCCCAAAGATTAGAAACTGTATGAATTAGGTCAAAATGTACAAATATCTAGCGGAACAGGAATTCTGGAGTCAGAAAATCAGCAACAGGGTTCACTTGCCAGTGATGAATGGATGGCTCAAAGCTTGTGATACTGTCAACCTCTTGTCTGGATCCAACACAAACATTTTATCTAAAAGATCTTTAAAATCAGCTAACATCTTTGGATCCTCACCAGAAGAACCTGTAATAATCGATCCAATATCTTTTGGCTTTATATTGAGAATCACCCGTTTGATAGTCTGCATAAGCAGAAATTAAAACTCATAAACTTGATAGGAAACCAGATTACTCTAATACTTGACAACTCAAGATGTCATGCTGGACATACATAAAAACAAGCCGGAGAACAGATGCATACCTTCTTTGTAACAGGATCATCTTCTGTGGCATGGAAGTTCAGATCCTGATCAAAATGTTGATGGGTAAATGCTCCCTGTAAGTAGAAAACAAAAGACAAAAAGGACATTAACAAAAAGAATAGTTTTTAGATGGAGAACAATTAAAACAGTAATGTAATATTAGCATATAAAACATACAGAAGAACCAATAACAAGAATTTATGTTCCTTGCTTTGCACTGATATGTTTTTACTTCCAAAAAAAATTGTTGATGAATATCAAACCAAATACATGCCTTCCGAAGCATCTTCTTTGGGAATGGACCTTTCAATTCCATGTGAAGACGTAGCATATCATTGTTTGTAGCACCAGGAAAAAGAACTTTTCCGGTAGAGAGTTCGTACAAACAGCAACCAACTGACCAGATATCCAATGGATGATCATAAGACAAGCCAAGAACTGCAACCAAGACATATCAAAGACCAGATCAAAATTTCAGGTGGAACATGCTAACCAAGAAGGATATATTTTTTTTAAACTGAATGATAGCTCAACGAAAAGAGAAGAAAATTTACTTATTTCAGGTGCACGATAAAAGCGGCTGACTAAGTATGGTGTAACTTCGTTCTTTCCAGCAAACATGGCATTACCGAAATCACAAAGCTTCAGCACATTTTTAGCCTCATTTACCTGGAACATAGATATATTATGAGTAACATAAATGACTCGGAATAAATCCAATCATGAAAAAGTAGCAACAACCTACCAGCATGTTATCTGGCTTTATATCACAATGAAGAACACCACAGTTTTTTAGATGCTTCAGTGCAATAAAAAGTTGCTTGGCATATGCTCTCACAGCAGTTAGCTTAAGACCAATATTGCGCCCGAACTTCTTTAAGACCTCACGGAGATTCATATGAAGAGATTCAAAAACTAAACAAAGATGATTTCGATACTTGAAATTTGATAGAAAACGAACACAGTGGCGCTTATTTTCTGGATCTTGACCTACTAATTTCTTCAATATGGCCAACTCCGTCATACCAGCCTTGTACCTACATAAAAGCAGCAATAAGTTCAAGAAAAAAGGCCAAATAATGCATATACAATCAGATATAACCAAAACCAGCACCAACGTAACTGGTATCATAATCACTTACATAGTGTCATTGCTACGTATAATCTTAATTGCCACTTCATCGGGTTCACCATTACCAACTTTAAGGTTCTTTGCACGAACTACGGTTGAAAAGACACCCTTTCCGTGAGCAGCAGCAATTTCATATCGGGCATCAAGTAGTTCCCCAAACCGGTAGCCTTCAAAACAACAACATACTAAATGAGAAAAAGAAATGAATACACAGTAGAAAAATAAAAAAATTATATTAGGATATCAACCTAGGTAATTAAGAAAATGAATTATTTTATTTTGTATGAAAATTCTAATTACAACCAAGATATACAAAGAGGGGACAATCTGGCAGAAATTAATTCCACCAATAAGAGAGAGCATGAGTTGGGCTATATGGAGATGCAGGATTTTTTAAACCCTGCAGGAAGAGGGAGGGGAGGAAGGGAACTGCAACTGTTACCTGAAAGGGACCATTACAAGCCTAAAAAAATGTGAAAGATTGGTCATACACTTACTGTAGTACCCTTCTGCATCATCCCAGTTGTCATGAAGACCACTCCTTTCAATTCGAACACCATCCCCTTTGCCCTGCAGAGGAAAAAGAAACACAAGACCTAAGTCTAGCTGCACGCTACATGACTAATCATCACTCTTAGTGTTCTAAACACAAACTATCAAAACTTTTATGTTATTGAGTATGTGATGATAAAAATATAAATAACAAGAAAAACGACTACACAGAATCATTCATGTTGCATCCTGCAGATACTGCCCATGTGAAACTCTGCTGAGAGGACAGAAATTTCTGGAAGACAGGCATTAAACAAACTGCAATTCTTGCACACAAATCCACAACAAAAATTACAAAAACCAATGAAAAGTGATACATATGTAAACTGACATGCAAAGTAACATACAACATGAACCAAGGTCAATGATTTCCCATTGTTGCCCATGCAAGACAATACCAGCCAAACTAAATGCAAGTTACTCAGGATGTATAAACATTATTTCACGAACTCTATCAATATCTAAAATGTCATATATGCACACCATAATTGTAAGAATGAAAGGTGCACTGCATGGGTAACTTACATATGAACTTACCAATTTTCTAACTCCAACTGGGGTCTCACCAAAGATATCATCACAGAAAATGCCATCAGATCTTTCACTCTGCATAAGTTGAAAATAAATTAAAAATTCACAAATTCACAAATCTCAGTTAAATCCTATGCGCTTCAAGCCAAGTTGGGACATAAAAATACCAAAAATTACGGTCCCAACAACAAACAAATCTAAGTTTTCATCAAATAAACAAGACTTTGCAAACTGTGGGTACTCTGAATTTTGGAAAGGCTAGACTCACCTTTGGAGTACCCTCTCCAAGCCCAGTGGCACCAGACGTCATCCTAGAAGCAGCATCACCATTCTGCTGAGGTGAAATGGAAAATACAGCAAGAGACACATCTTCATCACTCCTGCCATCATCAGTTTCTGCACCAGATTTGGCAACACCAGCTGATTCGGTTGCATGAACTTGAGGATCTTTGTCTGGTTAACATATTAGTTTATATTATTATTATAATAAATAAATAATATTGTAAGGACATAACCCTGAAGTACCCAGAATAGCATAAACAGTAGTAAAAAACATAAAAATAGCAACAAATCGCGGGCAGATGCGCTTAAAAGGAAAGGCGAGCTTAGGTAAACATCAATGACTTTAAAAACAAATTTAGAAGTACCTTTCTCCACACCCTCCAAAAGAGCCTGAGGCTCAATTCGTTGTTGTAACTGTGACTCAGTTTTTTGTAACTCATTTGTTTGCTGTGACTGCTGATTTCTGTATTTCTCTAAGATTGCTTGCCTTCTTCTTCGACTCTCCTCCTTGATCCTGTTCAGATCTTCCTCTTCCTGCTCAGCAAATTGTAAAGTGGCCCTCTCTTCATTGTCTTCTTGTTCATCTTCACCTCTACAAAAAAGAACTGGAATATAAGCATCAAGAGGTAAACAAACAAGAGAGAAGGGAGCAACTGTTAAACCAAGCAAATACCTTTTTGGTCTGTCTTCAACCCCTTCCCCAGCATAATTGTTTGAACTCTGAAACTTTGCTGGATCAGTTTTTCTTCTTCTGTCCTGGTTGTATTTTTCTTCATCATGCCTTGATCGACCAGAATGTTTATTCCTATCTCGATTTCCATAGCTGTCTTCAAGATTTTCATATTTCTCCCTCTCCATATCTCGGCCCTTACCCCTGTCTCTATCATCTCGCCTCTCCCATTTCCGGTCTGTAACTCTGTCCCTATCTCGATCCCTCTCCATATCTCTGTCCCTATCAGCCTTGACCCGGTCCCTGCTCCTATCGTTTTCTTCCTCCCTTTTTCTGTCCCTGTTCTCCGTGTCTCTGCTCCTATGTCGCTCTTCCCTTCTCCTTTCCCTGCTATCGTCTCGTCCAATTCCCCTTCTACTGTCCCTGACCAAATCCCTGTCACTACTCCTTTCTCTTTCTCCATCCCTTCTCCGAACCCTATTTCTGCTCCTTTCTTGTTCTTTCTCCCTTCTCTGAATCCTATCCACCTCCCTCTCCCTACTCCTCTCTCTCTCTCTGGTACGATCGGACACAGAGTATCTACTATAACTAATACTCTGGTCTCGTTCATCATCCCTAGCCAAATCATCACTGTCATGCCTCCGAACCATTCCTTCATCACCAGAGTCGAACGTAGCCTTACTTTTCTCTAAAGATACTGCCGTGTCTCGTTCATGATAACGTCTCCTTTTAGAAAGGGCCTCCTCTTCTACTCTACTGCGGGAGCATGATCTCTCCCTCACATGATCATATGACCTTGATCTGCTCCTACCATGTAAATCATCCCCGCACCTATCATGAGATGATGAACATACCAAGGTCTTGTGCTTGTCTCCACTACTTCCAGAGGATGTCTTTTTTCGATTAGCTACTTTGCTTCTATCATCATCCACTTTTTCATCATCATAGTAATGCTTTCGCTTATCACTTTCTTTAGAAGGCAACCTAGATTCCCTGTGCCGCCTCTTCTCCTCTTTGTGAAACCGGTGGGAATCGCCATTGGCATGATCCTCTATGCCTAATCTGGAAGCTAAATCATCTTGAGGCTCAACACTGGAATGTCTAGGCAACCCAGTCTCATCCCGAGACTTACCATGAACATGAATTCGAGTATCATCGTCACTACAGTGCTCTCTCATGGTTTTTGAATTATTATCAATGTTATCGACAAAAATTCCCTGCCAAGCACACCAAGGAAAATCAAGTAAGTGAACAAATTGCAGTACTTAACATTAATCCAGGCAAAACACAATAAAAAAATAACAGTTACTTAATATGCAATGTAACCAACTCTTACAAATTAAAAGTAAGCCATCAGCCTTCATTGATTGAAACGCCTAGGGAAACTTCTTTTGCAATTGATTCATGTTCGGCTAGTGCAAGAGCGGGTTCTTACATATGTATGAAACAATGGCTTTGACTCAGCTTGAACAAGTTCTCACCAAACAAATTTCATCACACAGTCCAAAACGCATAGAAAGATAAAGATAGTTTGTCCACTGAACAACAGTTAAATACATTTCCAAAAGTTTCAGCGATTTGAATCTCAAACAAACGAAACGAAAAAGAAAAACTATATAAGTTTGAAAACCAATCAGTTAAAGAGTTCATGAAAACTGGCCAGAAACAATTAAAGATTCGAATTTCCAAATTCCAAACTCTTTTTAGCGACCAAACAACAAGTAGAGGCCCAATTAATGAAAAACCAGAAGATAATACGGGGCATTCAGAACACACCAGATTTCGATTATCAGACTGATCGCGAACTCCAAGAGCCTCAATTTCACCAGACTCGGCATCAGAGCCGGCTGTCGTCTTCAAGACGCCGTCGTCGTGACCACCGACACCCTCCTCCTCGAGAATTTCGCCTTCCTCCACGTCTTCATCTGGCCTAGAACTATTCGCACCTGAAGAAGATAACAGAACAGGCGCCAGAGGAGCTTCAATATCGTCAACGGCGGCCTTGATTTCGTCTTCGCGCTTTTTGCTGCCATGACGGTGACGGTGGTGGCGATGGTGGTGACGGTGCTTATGGCGCTTCGACGACTTCTCGGCCTCGTCGTCGGAGGAAGAGGCCCGGCGGTGCTTCCGATGCGAGTCTTGGGCGTCGCTGGCCATCCGGGAAATCTAGGGTTAGGGGTTTGTTTTTTGTCGTTTTCTGATTTTGGGTTTTGCGAGGAGAGTCTAAATTACGTGAGCGAGCGAGAGAGAATGGTTTTTGGTTTTATGACTTTTTGAAGAAAATCAAATACTTCGAGTTTGAGATTGACAGCGTGACATATGTATATCCTTATTCGGCTCCAATGTCACGGTGGCTCATGTGCCAAACGATTTTTTTTTTTTTTTAATTTTAAAAAAAAGGCTTACGGTGGCTCTATGTATTTGTGTGCAGAGCCTATTTAGAAAGAAATATTCAAAAATTTATAGCAGTTAATTTTGAATTTTTTTCTCTAAATAAGCTTTATAAGAGTATATCATGTTAAAATGTGTGTATTTATGAAAAAACCTTTTCTTTTTCTTATCCACTTACTGTGCCAAACTAACATATTTTGCTTTCCATTTCTGGAATTTAGGGTGCCTTTTTTTGGTTAAAAATTTAGAGTGTTCTTATATTCAAATATCTGTCTTTTTGGCCTCATTTGTATAAATAAAAAATTAAAATTGTTATCAAAGAACTTAACAAAAGCGTGATGGAATGTTAGGACTCGAGTTTCCACATTGGAAAAATTACATATTCTAAATGACTTAACAGCTCTTGGGCACTGATTTCTTACAATTTACAAGTCGGTTTTTAAGAGCAAGTTTTACCCATGGACTCTTAATAATTGGTATCAAAGTATGGTTTCATGCAGCAAATGGGCCCAATTCCACAGAAAGGGCAACCTATAGGTTGGATAAAACGAAGCAGCTTCAAAGGAAAAAAAACCAAAAAAAAAAAAAAGGCTACCATCGGGTAAGTGTGAATAAAGTAGCATCCTTCTTATTATGTGTCCAATAAGTTTTGTTCTCGGTAACCAAAATAAAAATTATCAACCATTCTGAAAATATCTTAGGGAATGAAAGAAAAAAATTATCGAATTGAAAAGTATGATTTCCTGGATATGTCTCACTTATTTGCATTCTATTATCAATTTCAATTCTCAAGAACAATGGCATGTATTACTAACTGCTAGGTAAATTTTGTATTCACACTAAAAAGGAAAAAAAAATCACCTGGTAAAGTAAATTTACCCTAACAATATAATTGGTGTGTTTTACAAGTAGCAATCATAGCCCTTTGCTCCATTTCTTCAGTGGTGCCATCGAGCTCTTGAATTTCCAGAATTTCAACTCGACGGTTCATCTTCTTTCTCATCTTTATTGCCACATCTGCTGCTACAAATCTCCCACACACACTTACCCTGCACTGCTGCTTCTCAATCAAATGTGTCTCTATTTCTTCAACATATTAACGGAAAGAGGATGGTTAGTTTTGGAATATATATTTAGAGTTAAATTTATGGACTTTGATGCCTACGTTTATGGATATCTTACCTTTCATGTTTAGAAGTATTCTCCTTACTTTCCTGCAACATCCATTGCAGTCAATATTGAGCCTCATCACCATGCAAAAATACTGCAATTGTACCCAAGAAAAAACCAAAAACAGATATATAGCCCCATCAGAAATCTTCTTCTTTTTCCGGAAAGACAAAATTTAACCTTTGAGACATTATGTAAGCTTGACAAGGAAGAGACAGACAAAGATGCCACAGAACTTGCCTTTCCTGCCATGAAGTTGGAAATGCCAGGACCTGAGATGAAATTTTGGGTTGTTTTGATGACTGGAGAAAGGTAAATGGAAAAGGCAGCTGTGGAATATTGGGAATATGAAAGATTGTGAACCAATTGATATTCTACTTTTGAATCATCCCGTGGAAATTCTTCCTTTTCGTTTTGGAATCTGACTATGCTTGAAGTTGAAAAAGAGGCTTTTTGTTTCTTCTGTGCGGCTTATTATATATCCTTAACTTCATTATAAATATTTGCCTGTTTCCTGTCACAATGGCAAGGCTAAGCATCACTTTTGTATAGCAACATTAGAAAGCATCTCTTTCTTGAACTCAAAGGTTTCTATTAAAGAAAATTGAAGGCCCCTCTCAGGATCCAGTTTTTCCAACCATCTCTTTTTCAAACAAACACAGTAACAGAACAACAAGTCAAGGATTTGCCCAATCAATCTACCAATATGTCCCACTTATTTTACTATACGTTTCTATAAAAATTCATTTACAAAAAGTGGAACCAAACCACCAACTTAAGTACGTACCAATCATCGATAATCAGAGCGAAAAACTAATATTCATGTCCAATCCAATTGAAGGAATTAGGAAGACTTCTGATATGAATTTCCCGTAGCACATTGGACTTCTCAATCTGGCTTGGAATTGATCAACTTGAGGAAGAACGAAATATCCGCTTAATCAAGGCAAATTTGTTTAGAGGGTTCCTGTAAACAGCAGCAACTAGCCGACCGGCCGGTACTTTGGCTACTCTGGGATATCTGCAAATGAGTGTAACCTTCTTCTCCAGCGCATTCACCACAACAGACTCTATCTCTGCTCAATCATGTAAACATGTTATAACATGTTTACATCACATGTTTACAGTGCTAATAAAAGAAAGTAGATGAAAACACATGCAGGTGGTCCCATTAGGGAAGAGGAAGCTCCAAGGCCTAAGCCAAGAACTTGACTAGCAGACAATCATGTACAACTGTCATGGAATATGTACCATACCATACTTATACTATAGCATAGAGCAGCTTTATAGTATTTGACCCTTTCTTGGCCAAGAACATTAAAGAAGTTACCTTCTACTTGCTACTGCAGCCAAAGTTTTCACAGCTCTGGGATGATAAATTACCCACCACGGGTCCACAGAGCACATGCATTTCCATTTTGCATAAACAGAGTAAATGTTTTTACCAGAGGCAGAACTCTTTGGTAAATTACTCGAGAAAGGCCAGCATTATTTCAATCTGAGATGTTCCATGCTCCCTAGAAATGTTCTAATTTGTTTTTTAACCGGTAAATCAAATGCTATTAGTTCATCAAGGCAAAAACTCATACATGCAGTATCTTGTATAGGAGGCAGGCAATCGATCAAGACTGTACTGATATTTAGAACAAAGACAAAAGGGTCCCTTTTTAAACCAACGAAATAAAAGAAAATTTTACAAGTCCAGTCTCTAATTTGCCATGATAATCCAAAGCATCTGAATGAAGGCTGCATAGGAATCTTACCACCCAATTTTGACATCATGTCTGCAAGTCTCTCTTGGCATTCAGTACATCCTATATCAGCAGAGAGAACAACTTCCTGGAACTGGTTTGAGCGAGCAAAAAACCAACAATAACTTAAGGTCTGAATATAAATGAATGCAGGAGAGAGAGAGAGAGAGAGAGAGAGAGAGAGAGAGAGTGTGTGTGTGTGTGTGTGTACAAACCAGAGGCATGGATAAAGATTCAGCAGAGGCAAGACTGATTCCAGGAGAAAGTGATGAAGTGTTTGACTTCATTTTGATTCCAAATCATGAGAGCTCCTTGTTAGGCCATTAATACTGCAAGCCATGGCTTCGTTATGTTGCTTAAACAGAGCATGAAGAAGAATCTCACACAGAGCAGTAAGGTAAGAAGTTCAATCCCATCTTGCAAGTAGAAAATGATCTAGCAGCAGCTACTGTTGTCCTGATGGAGCCTACCTACTTTTTGAGGTACTTTGAGTCCTTGAGTACCGTTTGTTGGAGAGAAAGGGAGCGGAGATTAATGAGAAAAAACAACTTGTTAAAGCAGCAAATGGGAAAAGGAAAAGGTCTTTAGTTGACAACGATGCTTCATTCACAAATGGTAGCCCCACGATCGCATTAGTGTGTAGCATTGGCACACAAACTTTTCTTCTCCATACTTATTCCTCCGAAGTTACTTGACAATGATGTCGTGCAGTATGCTAAGTGCGGTACAGCTGTAAATAACAGTCAAATTATCTATTAAAGAACAGGTTTTAGTCGTAGTTTTGGTCTGTTCTTGCAAGTTTTCAACTATTTGTGACATAGGATCCTTGGCCAACCAAAACTCTATTTCTATTTGTAAACAAAGCCAACTTGGAAAAGAGCTGATATTATCTTAGATCTGTAACGTTACAAAGAACGTAGGATAGGATCCCTGTCATGTAGCTGTTCTGTTCAAAGGTGAGACCAAGTCAAAATAAAAGGCTGGTCCCTAAATTATGACCAACGGACACTTGCTGATGCTAAACATCATTAAGTTGAATTAGATCAGATCACAAACGACGAGAGCCTGATCATGCACTAAAATCCTCGTGTGAGAATAAATTCATTCATGGTTCAGAATGGCATACAGTCAATTACAAATCCCAAGGGTTCCTTCCAGAGTGGGGGACCAGCTCAAACATTATGTAAGTGACAGTTCAAAACTTTTGACTACCAAAAAGAGTGACAGTTAAAATTTTATTAAATAAAAAAACGATATACAAATTACATCCAACTGCTACCAAATGTGAAGAAGACTGAAGAACTAAAAAGGTCATTTCTAACTGCGCCCAAAATTTCTGCCTGACATTTGCAGGGCTTCAGGCCCTTCAGGCTATTGTTGCATAAATAGTTAAATGCGTACATGGAGAGACTTGAATGCCATGACTTCTCAAATGAACACTTCAAGAGATGACATTGCTGAGATTAGAGGGTCTAAAGAGAAAGCGGCATCCAACAGATGCACCAGAGCAAATATATACTAGTGGATGAATAAACTACATAACTAAGCTTGTTAGTGGAGGCGCCACTGAAGAACTGAACAGAGAATCCCCTAAATATTTGCAGTTCTCATGATCAACTTTCAGAGATGACGGAATCATATATCTTTCACAAGTACCAGATCCCACAAAGCCACGGGTGCTTTTACCGTCACCAACAATGCAATGCACCTTCTGGACAGAGCTCCCATTACGTCTTCTCTTCCTTGACGACTTCCACTTCAGCTGGGCAAGTACATCATCCTTCAAAAGATCCGGAACCTTACCCAATTCTTTAACCTTTTCATCCTTATCTTTTTTAGAGAGTAGACAAGAATCCTTACACCCTGTTTCATCTTTCTTCGAGGCCCTGCTATCACAGATAGCAGATTGTGATGACATGCCATCTAAACATTTTCCCGCAATTTGCTTTGTTTCTAAACTACACGTGATTGAGCTAACAAGTTCAGGCTTGTCCTTAATTTGAGCCCACCCACTACCCAACCACTCTTGAGAATGTCTTAATTCACCACGACCGACAATCAACACCCGCTTTTCTCCTGCACAGAGAGAGTAAGCAAATTAAGATATTTAAGCAAGTAAACAAAAATACAAAATAGAAAATTAACAGATTTTCATGAACTTCGTTGTTACTATTAGATTTCAAAGAAAGGAAGTCTTTGCAAACCTGGGAAATACACACGAAGTCTTTTGTCACATTCCTTCTGAACTACAATCCCTTCCCACCACCCATCGTGCCACCAGACATCAACAGCAGTCCCAACATCAACCGCCCATGAAACTTTGCATTTATTAGACTGTGGAGACGGCCGAATACTTGGCCTACCACAAATCCGAAAACCCAATTGATCAGAAGCTGCAACCCGGGATGCCAAAACCCATTCCTACAACATGAAAATCATAAAGTTCAAGCAAGCTATAAGCAAAGAACAGGTTTGACACAAGTTTCGTACAAAAGAAAATATGACAGAAATGGCCCCAATGCATACCTCCAGTTTTTTAGCTTCATCAGCTGCATCCTGGATATCTTGATATTGCACCTTCACTTTCTCTTTATACTTTTTGATAATTAAAGCTCTAAACCAACATCCTCTAATGCCACTGTCTTGTGAGAGGACTTCAACTTGTGAGCCCAGTGCTAAATGCTGCAGTAGGGTTTTCTTCACCTCTTTACTAGGTAAAGTAGCATCAGAACTCCCTCTTCCAAAACCACAGGCTTCGCTTTTACTTCTGCAATCAGTCCCATGTTTACTTAAATTCCCCACATCCACACATACTGCATCCAGTGATTCCCTTTGGTCATTGTTGTCCAAGCACATATCATCACCTTTCATTGAATGATGCCTTTTTTTAGGTCTGATACCATTGGCATCATCATTTTCCTCCATTTCCAACCCCTCGGTTGATTGTTGAGAACTCCCATGAACCTTTGAAGGTGAAGCTGTGCACATATATCTAAGTATCTCCTGTTTCCAATAACCTTTGACTTGAGTAATGTCGAAGGGCTTGCAATCATCATTATCAAACTGCTTGTGGCATACAAAGGGTTCCAAATGAGTTTGTGTTGCCTCTTTGTGGAATTTCTCGAAATGCTGGGGACTGAGGATGGTTGCCAATCCATCTATGCATTCAATACTGAGATCTTGAAGACACAGAGAAAAGAAAATCTCTCTGTCATTAAAATTGTGAGGCAAAACAATACCAACCTCATCAACTTTGTGAAACCATCGTACCACAACCATCTTGTTGCCCCTAGAATCCTCGTACATGTCTTCTAAATATGCAACAAGACGCTTATCCTCCTCTGCTAAAACAAATACAAAATCATGAACCTGAAAGTATTTGGAAAGAGGAACAACAGAAGATGAATACGTCAGATGAAAATATTCTTCAAAAGCAAACTCACAATTGAAGGTAAGATGTTCAAGAAACAAAGGGGAACTTTTTTTTATATAAAGAAAAGGCAACAGAATAGAACTTACAGAAACTACAACACCATTCCGGCTGAAGGATTGATAATGCCTCCGTTTTTTCCTGCATGTCCAAGGAGAACCTAACCACAGAAACTCTGTAGTATGGTGGCCCAGCTTCCGCAATACAGTATCCTAGGAGAAAGATGGAGAATAAATATAGCATATTTCAGTAATAAATATTTGAAGCATAAAACATGCAGGGGGTAAATAAAAGTCATAAGTAATCATCCTTACCTTATGGATTTCAATCCCCAGTTTGCAAGAATCTTTATCATCCAACACACTCCCACCCAAATCAGGTGACTTGTGAGGTGATGTATCTGAAGGAGTCATAAAACAAACAAATTAATATGACATTTAACGTGGACTACAGTAAAAATAATAACGAAAATAGAATGACAGATATATCAGCAATCAGGACACATAAATGAAAACATAAAACAAAAACAACCCAAGAATATTAACGGAAAGAAATGTGTAAACAGAAACAAGCTGTGCAAAGGACAAGTATCCATAACAGATGGATCCATTAAACAGAGAGACTAAAAACCTGAAGACATAAACTACCACATATACCAAAGATCATAATGGAAAATAATAATAAATCTGGCCATGAAGGGTCTTGACCTAGAGATTTTGAGGGCATAAGGATCCGATGCTCTCAACCAGCTCTTTACAATTTAATTAAAAATCCTGCAGCCCAGATCATAGTCAGTTCACAAAAACAGGAACACCAGCAATACCATGAAGAACAGCGCATGGTCAAGGTTGAAAGCCAGATAAAGACAAGACCGTAAAAGTAAGAATACGCATAAAACAGGCAATACCACCTGTAAGGTCCTTCATTAGTGAACAAAAAAAAAAGCCTGCGGCGGCTCAATGAAAGAACATGACGATATATCTTTAAGGCGTTCGTGTTTTTAACAAATAGAATGGCTATAAGTTGAGTAAATTTCCAAGAAATAAAGAGAGGCAAGACCGATCCCAAAAAAAGAATAGATTTTACATGGAAATGAATGGAAGAATTTTTGTTCAAGGGGATTTTTCCTCATGCAAAGAAGAATTCGACATAAGTGGAGATCTGAAAGAGGGAAAGGAGTGGAAGACAGGCCAACCTGGAGGACAAACGCTCTTGCCAGAGACGAATCTAGAAATTGAAAGATAAAGGAAATCGGATTTTGACAGATAAAACAAACCCAGGTTATCACAAAACTTTCGTCTGATGGCAAAGTTTGAAACTTTAACAAGGGAAAAGCCTTGAATTTGGCCTGTAGGTGAACCCAATAACCCTCCGCCCTCTCAACCAGATAACCCGTCTCCGACAAAATTCTGATGGTGATATCCCATGTAAAACCGGTTGGGAAGCTCACATGACCACAAATCAGTGAAAATATACACATGAAAATGGCAACAAAAGAAATAGATTTGTGAATAAATCGATTATAAATTAAACACAACCCAAGTAATTCTATGTCTGCCTCCAACAAAACCATCCAGATCCAGAAAATCTCTTCAACAAAAGCCAAATCCCAACAATCCTAGACGAACAAATTGTAGACAAATACCAAAGACATTCCATTTCCCAATAAGGAAAACTGAAAACCCCCAAAATATCCAAAAACAAACAAGAAAGGGAGGGTCGTCAAAATTCATCAAGAAATTAAACATGGGCGAAATTTACCTGAAACGACGGAATTGAGCCAATCAACGACCTCCCTGCGAGACTTGAGCTTAACAAGCGAAGACATAGAGAAGAAGGATCGGCTTCGAAACGCGTAATGATAGGACATGTGCCGCAAGCTCTTCTCTTTGCCTACCACAGCCAGATCTGAGCTCCCGTCGCTTCGCTTCAGATAGTAATGGACCTCTCTCCTCCCTTTGTCGCTCGACACAAAAACCTCATCCCACCTCACGAACCCAAACGCCGTCGTTGCCGCCTCCGCCAATCTATCCATTCCCTCAAGGTTCAATAATTAAAACCCCTAGTTGATTATAACGACGCAGCTATGGCTCTAATTGATTGCATAAAAACCCTAACCGAGGAGGACGAACCAGAGACGAAGAGCAATACGCGAACCAGAGGCACTCTCTCTCTCTCTATCTATCTTTCTCTCGGAATGAGAATGGTAAAGGGGTTTGAATGCAAATTTTAAACTTTATTATTCAAGGGGAGGAGGGAGCTAGGGTTTCGAGCTTGGGGATGTGAATTGAGATAGACGGTTGAGATTGCGCCCACGAGCGTGACACGCAGGAAAGTCGTAGGAAATTGCGGGGATATCTAAGGGGGTTTTGGATTTCCGGAAATACCCCTGGTCAAGTTTGGAAATTGCTGGCTTTTGTTATGTACGTGTTGGAATTGGGCATTCGAGACAAGGAACAAGTTGAGGAGGGGGAGAGAGAGTGGTGCCCGCAATTGCCGGTGTAGAAAGGGAAGACTCGCTCACTCTGGTTGCCAGCTGTCTGAAAAATTGTCTTCTTTTTTTTCAGATAAAAAGGGCCATGTAAAATATAAATAGAAATTACGGTTGCGAAGTAACTTTTTGTTAGTTACTGAGATAATAAATTATGGTTGCGAAAATATTTTTTTTGTGAAGCTTTTTTTTTCTTGGTCTGGTATAGGGATGGGTACGGTCGGGATTGGATCAATTTCATCATAAAATAATTACAATATAATAGTTTTATTTGGTTCAATTTTGAAAAAAATTAAGGAGGAAACCGAACCAAATTAAACCAATTTAAAACAATTTGGTTCAGTTAGTTTGGGTCTAAGCCTAATTACAATAAAAAAACAAATATTCACAACTTGCTACATACTTTTTCATTTTCTAGACTATCAAACCATCATAAAACTCAACATGCATTAAAACTTCAAATTTCAATAACCAATATAGCTACAATTTAAATATCAATAACTCCAAGGGTCCATCATACTTCAAATTCAACATCCATATATAGTTATTATATAATTAGAGTATTATAAGTGTATAATAAATAAATATACAAGTAGATGGTCTGATTCGATTGAGGTTGACTTACAAAAGCTCAATATTGAATCAAACCAAACCATGTAAGGTTCGGTTTGATTTTTAAACCATTTGACTTTTTTTTTGTCAAAATAAAACCAAACCGATAATTACTATTTGGATCAGCCGATTTCATCAGTTTGGTCGAGATTGATGCTCATCCTTAATATGGTATACAATCACTGGTGTATGCACATTGGGGCCATTTGGGGTCCCTTGACCCCATGAAATTAGTCCATATGTGCATATTTGATGTTTTATTGATACGCAATAGATAGAGTTTGGGCATATTTGATGGCTTTTTGATATGTGATAGCTAGGGTATCAAAGAGGGAAAAATAAATGAAATTTAGTTTTCATTTTATGGCTAGGAAAGCAATTAGAATAAAAATACTTTAATGAAAAAATTATTATTTTATTTTTTCAATTATTTTTTTCAAACAAATGTGTGAAGACTCTTACACCATAACTCGTTGGGGGTACAAATCCCGGATACGTTTTTCTTGAAATTTAATTTGACAAACGAAAATTACAATTACACATTAAGGAAAAAACTCCCTAATATGGTACGCGAAAGCTTGAAGATAAATATGTTTGAATGTTTTTGCAGGTTATGGGGGTTGCTTTTCCTTAGTTTAATAGACAGTATTAATACATATTTTTGCGTGTAAATGCAGCTGAAAATCCCCTGGCCCTTGTTTCCACCATCTTATATATTTGTCTCTTTATTGAAGAAAGGTTCAAAATAAAAGAAGACAAATGGATAAAGTTTTTAAATAAAAAAAAACAAACAAACGAGGTTGATTTGCATTGCAAGGAATTGTTTTTCTTCAAATTTCATTTGACAAACGTTCATTAAGGAAAAAACTCCTATAATGATTAAAAGAAATTAACTTTTAGATTTATGGTTCTATCATTCGTTTAAAAAACATATGCTTGCAAGTCTTTAAGTAAGATAATTTTTTTCCTTATATACAATTGATATTGGGGGAGGAAATCGAACCTAGGACCTCAAATGCATGAATAAATGATCTTAACCAATTGAGCTATAAGTCCCTTGCTAAGTAAGACATTTAGGCTATCCAGTACGACTTCAACAATTTATATTTAATGAGATTTCAAATTCAACATTTTGAGTTATTTTCTATGTTACGAGATATATAGTAGTTACTTAAGTTATTGGGAATTAGTATGCATTCAAAACATCTATAATTAACATCCACATGTAAGTTACTAAGTCAGATACAAGAGTGATTATACTCATGTCCTCTCTTTGCCAAGATATCAACTACCATGTTGCCTTGTGATAAATACATTATCTTTCATACAAGCAATATGAGATGGTAGAATTGAATACAACACTTTAGTACATAGGTAAATATTCTTCACTACTTAAATTATAAGCGCTTGATATTTATCTTGATCACGCATCTTAGATCTCCAACTCAAAATGCATATAGACACTGTTGTATAATGTAACTGTCTCCAATATGAACAATGGTGTAGATTTTAGAGATATTTAGTAATATACCCATTCTTAACACTAAAACTATAAATAAACCCTATACTATTTAATTTCTATAAACAAACACAAAAAAAACCCCAAAAATGACAACTTGCCCTATTGAATTTAATTTTGATTATTAAATTACTTTGATGCCTTATTGAGTGTTTTTGGCTTTTTTACAAGGTTTTGGGTGAGTTTGTTTTAAGAAATCAATTGCAGTTTTGTAATTTAAAAGAAGTTAAAAGCCTTTTTGTTATGTTGTAAATTGATTTTGGGTGTGTTTTTAAAGTTAATTTTATATAGGGTATTTTTTTATAAAAAATTTAGGCTCATGTATTGGGTATAATAGTGAATCTCCCTATATTTTAATGGTCAAGCACTTGATGCCATCACTTTGTATCAATGTGCAAGCACTTGACGCTAAGTCGTTTAATATAAGATATTGCTTTTCAATAATTACAGGGGCAACGATATATATCTTAAATTTTGGAATAAAAAATATGCAGCAATATTTAATTTGAAACAATAATTGGTTCATGTAAAAGAGGTACGGTAAGGTAAAATAAAAAATTTTGGAAAAAAAGAGGTAAAAAAAAAAAATATGTTATACTACTTGCATGCAAGTGATATATTTCATATTTTATAATAATATGCAGGAAAAAAAAAGTTCAAATTAGATTTCATTTTTACTGTTTCACAATAATATGCAAAAGATAAATTCTCATAAGAATTGACATATTATTACTTCCAATTAATTATTTGAACTTCAACTATTCATTGGTTAAAACCATGTATTGTGGACTGAACTATATGATGCAGGAGCCAGCCCCATGACCGACTGTAACGTTCTTCAACGGTCTAGAGACTTGGGTTGTTTGTAATGTTTTCCCGATTGACAGTTTATTTTCTTGATTTTGTAAATAGAATTGTTTGTTGCATGTTGTGATGTAATGATACTTTTTTTATATAAAAAAAACCGAATTTTCATTCATTAAAGAGTTTTTAAAGATAAATTTTAATGAGGCCACATATGTTTTACATTACTGGAGCCCAATTCTTAATATTCCTGTATTTTTCTAACATTGTTGTTTCAATAAAGTTACATTTCTTTGAAAAACAAAAAAAAAGAGAAAAACACAAGAGGTCCCCAACCCAAAAAAAATAAGAGAAAAAAGCTAAAAACGACAGGTGCTCGATTCTATTTACACGCGGAAACTTTGCTGACGGTGCAAAACAGACCGGTCCTTGCGGTCCTCAACAGCATCGCCAGAAATACAGCTGCAAAGCACTCTATCATCACCCCCATTAAAAAATTATAAGATAAAATTTTCATTGGAAAATATAATAAATGAAAAAAAAAGGGAGGATAAGGACGCGAATAAATAGGTGAGGTAGGGCATCGGAAATGGCTCCAAAAGACAGCTAAGCCGGCCCCCAAAATTGGGCTGCATCTGGAAGGCGGGAGAGTTAAGCGGGATATTTAACTTGTAAGACAAGCGACACTGAATCTGAGCCGTTGCCTCCTTTAAATGCAAACCGTCCATTTCGATGATTCGTTTTGGTAGGGTCATGAATTCGGGCCAACTTCCGGGGCAGAAATGGAAAACTAATAAATACTTAAATAGGCCCATAAATAAAACCAAAAAAAGAAAAAAGAAGAAGAAAAACATACCTTTAATAGCAAAGATCTAGTTTGGCTGGCCTCATTTGCAAACATGTCGACCACTTAGCTGTGAAAGTTTAAAAACATGGGCATAAATGATTGAGTGTTTTTTTATATTATATTAATTATTGTTAATATATATAATTTTGTTAGAATAGACAATGAAATGCTTTTAAAGAATGTAATTATATTGATAACAAGGGTGGTGGGGTTCACCAACTTTACGTCATGAAATGATGATTTTGGAATTTAGTGTAAGCTCATAGGAATATCCAGGGATCTCCAAATTAACATATAATTTAGTTGTTGGAATTGGAATGAAACAAAAAAAGCAATTAATTGATGCAGCATCTATCAGCTCCTGTGTCAGAGATCAACAAAACTGACACTAATTGTTTGGCTACGAATCTTTTATCACCACAGCCCAATAGTTTCCGACTGGTACGACAAGATTACAATTTTAGGCCCAACTCAACTCCATGGGCGGGTTGCTCTTGGATCTCTTGGCCCAAATCTACATAACAAGTTCTTGGGTTGGGTTTATTCAACAAGCCTAGCTACAAGGTGTAGCCCGTGAGCTTCGTAAAATAATGCCCACAATCAAACCCTACCTTTGGCCCATATTTATTTATTTTAATACAAAAAAATGTCGGAGGGGGATTTGGACACATGATCTTGGAAGTGAGAGTTTCATGTTATCAACTAGAAGGCTAATTATAAGATAACGTTTAAGGTTTTTTTTTTTGAGGAAGGAGCAGGGGGCTAAGCGCAATTCTTTGAATCAAACACTGAACGAAATCGATTGTGGTAGAAGGAGATTCAAACACAAGATTGATCTCAAGTGCATGAGTCACTGTACTTAACCATTTGAACTATAAATTTTTTGATGACTAGTATAAAAATTAGGTATCTCATATTTGCAAATAAAAAAATAAAAAAATATCACTGGGTATAACTCAATTGATTTAGCTCTTCCATCTCCATCAATGAGAGCAAAGATTGGAATTCCCTAAGAATTCAATGAATATTTGCGTAAACTTCAGTCAATAGCTTGTACTAGAAAAAATAAAATAAAAAAATCCCTAAGAAGTAAATAAGGAAGAGTGGGAATGGCCAAGTGCCAGGCGAATGGCGATGTAAACAATTTAAACAGAGTTGAGGGTAGCTCAAAGCCTCCAACCAACTCCTCCTCGTCTTCTCCGCCCACTTTCTTCATCACCTTAACATTCTTCTTCTTTTAAATCACACTCACACAGACACCCCCCAATCCCTTCTTTCTCTCTATCTCCTCCAATTCTCCGAAATCCAGAATGGCGTCTTCTCCATTTCTATCGAAGACCACCATTTCCTTCTCCTCCTCCATCTCCACTTCTCTTCCCTGGCGGTCCTCACACTCTTCCCCTTCCTTCTCCACCGCATTTCGCACTAAACCCCGTCGGAGAACCCTGACCGTCCAATCCAAGATCAGGGAGATCTTCATGCCTGCCCTCAGCTCCACCATGACCGAGGGAAAGATCGTCTCCTGGGTCAAATCCGAAGGCGACGTCCTCTCCAAAGGCGAGAGCGTCGTCGTCGTCGAGTCCGACAAGGCCGACATGGACGTCGAGACCTTCTACGACGGAATTCTCGCCGCCATCGTCGTCGGCGAGGGCGAGACCGCCCCTGTCGGAGCCGCCATCGGACTACTGGCCGAGACCGAAGAGGAAGTCCCCGAGGCTAAAGCCAAAGCCAAATCCGCTTCATCAGATTCCCCCGCTTCTTCTTCCCCGGCTGCTGAAGCTGTTACGCCCACTCCTCCTCCTGCTACTTCCACTCCCGCTCCAGCAATCGCCCAGCCTTCTCCACCTGCTACTTACACTCCCAAAAAGACTGTGGCCACGCCTTTTGCCAAAAAGCTAGCCAAGCAACACAAGGTGGACATTGCCTCCGTGGTGGGCTCCGGCCCATTTGGCCGAATTACACCTGCTGATGTGGAGGCCGCCGCCGGAATTGCCCAGCCCAAGAAAACCGTCGCCGCCGAGCCCACTCCCGTGTCCGCTGCTCCACCCAAGCCTTCTGCTGCTCCTTCGGCTTCATCAGCGCCTCTGCTTCCTGGCTCAACGGTGGTTCCCTTCACAACGATGCAGGCCGCCGTTTCGAAGAACATGTTGGAGAGTCTCTCGGTGCCAACATTCCGCGTTGGTTATCCAATCAGCACCGACGCGCTCGATGCCCTCTACGAGAAGGTACATTGTGGATAGTGTTTGATTTAATTGGGTTGTTGCCTTTGGAATGCCTATTGGGTCTGATTGGCGTTTGCAATTCTGGGACTTTGAGCTGAATTTATCGACATTTTTTGTACAGGTGAAGCCAAAGGGTGTGACCATGACTGCATTGTTGGCCAAGGCTGCTGCTCTGGCACTCGCTCAGCACCCGGTTGTAAATGCCAGCTGCAAAGACGGAAAGAGCTTCACGTATAATAGTAGCATAAACATCGCCGTTGCTGTGGCAATCAACGGTGGCCTTATAACCCCTGTTCTTCAGGATGCCGATAAGGTCTGTGATTTCTGAATGATATGTTAGTTAAATTATATGTTTTTGCTCTTGATAGTTGGAGTTTTAGATATTGATGGGGAATTTGTATTTGTTTTCGCAGTTGGATTTGTATTTGTTATCCCAGAAATGGAAAGAGCTAGTGGAGAAGGCCCGTGCTAAGCAACTTCAGCCCCATGAGTACAGTTCAGGTCTTTATTATACAAATTCTAGAAACTCTTTGTGTTTGTTACCTCTATTCTCATCGCTTTTCTGTTGTACTCATTAAGTTACATCGAATTCTATACAGGAACTTTCACTTTGTCCAATTTGGGCATGTTTGGAGTGGACAGATTTGATGCTATTCTTCCTCCAGGACAGGTGAGTTTTAACCCTTAAAGATAAGAATTTTCGGTTTCGTGAATTGATAATTTATGTTCATTATTATTTCGCTGTTTGCTCAATTTTTTTTATTAATAATCAGGGGGCTATCATGGCTGTTGGAGCTTCAAAGCCAACTGTTGTGGCTGATGCAGATGGGTTCTTCAGTGTAAAAAGTAAAATGCTGGTGAGTATCATCGAGTTTTCTTCATAATGTGTGCTATGTTTCTTAATGTTGATGTGCTGGAGAACTTTACAATGATGTCAGTTTAGTTTCACACATATGTAACAATCATTTAAACAAAATTCAACAGCATACGCAAATGCAAAATTCAACAGCATACACTTCTTGTTACTAGTACTCCCGAATTTTCCATGTCAGCTACACAATGCATAGTAACCCGCTACTTTCTTCTGTGAGGAAAAGAATGTTAAGAAGTTATATATAAATTTGGCAAGAGTTGTGCTTGACTGAAATTAGCTGTTCTCCAGAAATATCAAGGATTTATTTGTACTTACTCAGTTCTTTATGCATGTCAACTAATCTTGTGGGAGAGAAACAGAGCCTTATATGCAAACACCTCCATGCACCTCTATGTGAAGGGAGGGGAACATCACTTTCTTTGTAGTTGATCTATTAACTACAATTTCCAGAAGCACCAAGATTTTATAATGTTGATTGGATCTAATAACTAGGTTTCTCTGCACTGTGAATATTTTTCTTCATCTGCTTATCAATTTTGTCAGTTGAACACAACAGGGAATCTGAAACTTATAGCTTCTCTTGTGGTTGGAAACTTTTAGAAAAGATACTTAATTTAGTTGGAATGTGCATCTTTCTACAGGTAAATGTAACAGCTGATCACCGGATTGTTTATGGTGCTGATTTGGCTGCCTTCCTCAAGACATTTGCAAAGATTGTTGAGAACCCAGAGAGCCTCACATTGTAGTTGGTGTTTCAGGACTCCCAAGGATAAAATGTTTTTGACCCTAAGCCTCTAATTTTCATCAGTGAAAAAAGGATGACGTCTCTTTCGAACGGGGTGCCCAACTAAGGAACACGCTTTTGCAGTAATTTCTAGCATTTTCTGCTTGTGTTGTACTTCATTTTGTTTTGAACTCCTTTAAGAAATTGCAATGCTTTGTTAGTCACTGTTGAGAAGATTTTGAAACTGGGAAACAGCAACTTTTGAAATTTTTTGATAAGAACAATGCTTGGTGGGAAAGTTCAAAACCCAATGGCTGTGTAATAATATCATCTATGACAGGCATAGAATCTATACATGAATTGGTTGTTTATGAACTTTGGTGATTTTAGGCATTCAAGTTTACCATATTCTATCTGTTAAGCACCTCATGAAACCTTTCATTTTATAGTGGATTAAGTGATTAGAAAGTGGAGTGACTTTTAAGTTCCTTTCTTTGTATAGGTAGCAAACATCATTTAACTAATAACTTTTGCAGCAGCACTGCCTTGAGCCACGCGATAATTTTTTTGATCTTGCAGTCTAAATAATAGCCTCCTATAAAACATGTAGGTCTCTTGTAGCACGGTAATAACACTTATGTACAGGCCCATTGTAGAGTAAAAGAAGTGCTGTTAACGAACTAGAGCTGCATACACAATAATAGATGAAGACTCAAGTCACCAGTCCAAGGTGATACTCCTAGAAAGGTATAGCTTGTCGATGTACTCGATCACCGGACGTGAGGCCCGGATGTACCTTTTCATCTTCTTCTCTGCTGACTGGTCTGCAATAAAATTGATCATAATTAAGAATTAATAGCACATTTGAAAGAGATGCTGGCTGGATAGAGAAAAGTTTTACACTTACGGGTTTCTTCGAGATTCACCAGAAGTTGATCCCTTGACGGAAGAGCATACATGCCGGCGGCAACTGCTGTCCTGATTGTCCAACTGTGGTATGGCGCACAAACTTGGGCATAAGCTGTAGAAGCTGCTTCCCTTAAAGAAAAGTCACTGAAAGGCCAAAAAAGCAAGAGAGAGAGCTAGATATCATGATGTAGAACAAAACCAAAATACCTGCAGAATGATACATAACTGCAGTCTGCAATTAGACATAAGGAGGTTGAACATACTCGGTTGACAAAAATTGTTCAAATAAAGCTCTGATGAGGTCAAGGCCCTGCCTAACTCGGCGCAAATTACGTGAGTGGCTTCCCGGGGTTTTTACTGTGTCATTTGCAACATCAATATCAATTAGACTATCTAAGGTGTCGTAAGTCTTTGATGCTTCCACAAGATCATCAACCTGAATGAACCAAACACAGTGTGAGATCCTGCAGGAAGGTCAATTGGATTGAAAATGCAACCAAGAACGAGTACGAAACAGAGCCTCATTAGGAGTATGAATTATGCAAGAATTGAGAAACAAACAAACTTGAGAAGGCAAACTTGATCAGAAAGGGCCAGATATCATAGACATCTGAAATCAAAATTGCAAGCAGAATGGGAATGCAGGATGGAAAGCATATATCATACATGATCAGCAACAAACGGAGTTCTGCAGCATATTATATACAACATAATCATCAATGCAGCGTATCTTGATCCCAAACAAATTGAAAATCTATATAAAAAAGCACACAATTTAGATTGAATTTGAAAAGTAAGAAGATGGATGGAAGAGAGAAACGGAACCTTGGAGACGTACTCCATCTCGGCGAACTTGAAAGCGAGGCCAAGGCAACTGAAGAGGATGGAGACGAGAGAAGAGGCCTGGCAGAAGGTATCCAAACTTAGCCTCTGTTGTTGTTGTTGTTGGGATTGGAGGAACTTGCCCAACTCCTCAAAGGCTTCAACAATGGATGTTAGAGGAGGCGTGGACGTCGACTCTGCCATTGCCATACCATCCATGGCTCCGCTACAGCTGCGTTTCACCCCTAAAATCATTCACAAATAAAACCCTACCCCCAACGAAACGATTTCTCCTTCTTTTTCTTTCTTTATAGTTACAATTTACAAACAAAACCTTCAAATAATAATGTTAATAATAATTAGGGTCCTCAAGATGCAAGGCAGTTGCCTTTGTTGCTTTTGTTGTTGGTTGTGTTGAAAAGGGGTGCAACCGATAACGTAAGGCTATAGGGTTTGAAGCTTCGCTAAGGATGCGGCCTGCCTAAGGTAAAGGAAACCACCACTTTTATCTTTTACATTACATGGGAATGGGATCATCAAAAGTCAAACACAATCAGACCGACCATCCGGGAAAAGTCAATCTCTTGTTTGATTGTTCATCAAGGTTTCTTAACACCACTTTCCTCTTCTTCTTTTTATAAGATCTCCATTTTATTAGGCCTTGGTTACTCCCTCTTGGGTCAGGTCCCAAACCCAAAGATAAAACTGGGCCTAGTTCATGGCCTTTTTAAGATCACCCAAAATTGAATCCAGTCTTTATGTATTAAGCCTTGTTTTTTTTTCACCGATAAACTTCTGGGTAGTAAAGTAAAACTTACCATAAAATTAATTTTCTGCAAAACAGAGCAAAATAGAGGCCTTGCTTTAGTGGATAAGATGAGTAAGAAGCACATGTTTGAATTTCGTATGCTTCCAAGATCTAATATACAAATAATTGATCATACAGGCTGGATGATTCAGAGAATCTATAATTTATTATTCAATATAGACAGTCTCCTCATTTTCTATACACTAAACCATAACCAGTGGTGACTGCCTGCCTACCTGAGCACTAATTGATTAATTAATTAATTAAAAAGCCAACTAAACGCGATTGACAAGCTCTACGCCCTTCTCTTCAGACTCAGCAGCTTCTTTCTTGATGACTTGAATGGGCTTAAAAGTGTACATTTTGGCACAGAATATGTAGTAAATCAGATTTATAACTTGCAATAATGTGAGCACCCAGTAGAAGTATTCTAACTTCCCCTTGTTTAGATTATTATCTGGCAGCCAATTTGATCCATTAGGCCCAGCACTAAACTTGTGCACCAGGGACACCAAAAGAGTGCTCACATAATTCCCAGCAGAGATTGCAGTCCAAAACAGCGCAGCAGCAGTGCTCCTCATGCTTTCTGGTGCCTGGTCATAGAAAAACTCGAGGTGCCCAATTGACATAAATGCCTCAGCCATCCCATGAAGGCTATACTGAGGAATGAGCCAAAACGCTGAAATGGGGATCATGGAATGAGGCTGATCTACAAGCCCATGAGCAAAAGCTGCATTTTTTCGCTTAGTTTCGACGAACCCAGCAACCAGTGTAGCCAGTATTGAAATGACAAAGCCAATTCCCATTCTGTGAAGGAATGTGATGCCTCTGTCGAGCCCTGTGAGCTTCCTGGCAAAGGGTATGAAGAGGCGGTCGTAAAATGCGATTGTGGACAGCATGGTGACTATGTTGAAGACTGTCATGGAGCCTGCTGGGATTTCAAAGGACTTTGTGAGGTGCCTGTCCATGGTTTTTGCTTGCTGGAGTGAGAAAGTGTTTTGTTGGGCATAGGCTGTGATGAGGAGTATCCCTGCTCCCCATATAGGTCCCATTCTAATCACAGATTTGAGTTCTTCCACACGATGAACGGTGTTCAGCCTCCATAGGTTTGGTAACTTGAGATTGTCTTCCTCAGTCACAATGGCTGCCTTGTCAAGAAATCTGCATATATATTTCACCATACGTATATTAGGGTAACGTTCTATCCCAATCGTCATGATAAGACTTATGTTGTCGTCCTTGACAAGGAATTGGGTTAATTTAGCATACAATATCTTCAATTAATAGCTACTTTAATTGCATAGTTCTTGTGTGTGTGTGTTTTGGGGATTAAGAATTTTATCCAATATTGTGGTGATGGCCAAATGATGGGCTCGTATATGTTTAGCGTTGATCTGGTGTATGAGAAACCCATTAAGCCAGTGACACCTGGGAAGCAAAAAAGGTAAGCCAGCATGCTGTGGGAAAAGCAGGCCAAGCTCTGGAAAGCAGTCATAGGTGACTAGATTGCACGTTCATATTGCTAGAGGAAGCGAGCTTTCTACAATAGAAACCAAACCAAGTGTGTGGTGTGGTGCTGCTCAAGAAGATCAGAGGAGTGTGGACCCTACGTATTCAATTCATCAATAATGCATGGACAAAATGATTGTCATCATCTGCAACATGCTTTCACTTAACGACAAACAACCTTAACAAATTTATAATATTGCCCCGTCAAAAATAGGTGTTGATAATAATGCAGGCTATCTGTTATCAAATTCAAAACTAGAGAGATTTTTTTGTTGGGAATTCACTATTATACCCAATATAAGAGCCTATTATACTCAATTATAAAAAAATCATATATGAAATGGACTATAGAAAAACACCTAAAACCCATTTACAACATAATAAAAAAGCTTTTAACTTCTTTTAAATTACAAAATTGTCATTGATTTCTTAAAACAAACCCAACCCCAAAATCTCGTAAAAAAGCCTAAAACACTCAATA